GGGAAAAGTGCGTCCTATACGGCGAAAAATACGGTAATTTCTTGGTTCGAAATAGTTCAGCTTTTGATGGCCACTAAAATTTATGAAATGGTAGCCCGGTGATTCTTTTCCCTCCTAGAAAAGCTATTCTGAACGCAGCGACAAGAGGCAGAGTGCTTAACCCCTTCCCCACCAACTTGCTTACTCCCAATCCTCTTCTGAAAAGGCCAAATCCCCACCATTCATCTGCAGCACATTTTAAGCATATACCTTCCCTCAAAGAATCCTGGGAACTGTAGTTTTACCCTCTACAGTGCTTCCATTCCCAGCATTCTTAACAAACTACAGTTCCTAGGATTCTTTGTGCTTCAGATGTGCTTTTAAATAGATGGTGGGAATGTGCTCTCTTCCCCGCAGGGTTTCAAATGCTTATTTGCAGTGCCAAACACACCACTGAAATCAGCAAAGGAAAAGCCACTGCCCAAAAATTGCGACGGGGAAAGGCTTAAGCATTCCAACCTTCCTCTCTTGTTCTCACTCAGCCAGTCCTCAGCAGCTTTTCCAGTAGAAGATAGGCCATGTGGTTAAAATTGCATTTATGTATAACATGTTAGAAGGGACGTGGGTGGCGCTGTGGGTAAATCCGCAGTGCCTAGGATTTGCCAATCGTATGATCGGTGGTTCGAATCCCTGCGGCGGGGTGAGCTCCCGTCGTTCGGTCCCAGCTCCTGCCCACCTAGCAGTTTGAAAGCACCCTTAAGTGCAAGTAGATAAATAGGTACCGCTTTATAGCGGGAAGGTAAACGGCGTTTCCGTGTGCAGCGCTGGTGCTGGCTTGCCAGATGCAGCTTCATCACGCTGGCCACGTGACCCGGAAGTGTCCTCGGTCGGCGCCGTCTCCCGGCCTCTAGAGTGAGATGAGCGCACAACCCTAGAGTCGGACATGACTGGCCTTCGGGCAGGGGTACCTTTAACTTTACCTTTTTTAACATGTTAGAGGGATGCGGGTGGCACTGTGGGTTAAACCACAGAGCCTAGGACTTGCCGATCAGAAGGTCAGCGGTCCGAATCCCCGTGATGGGGTGAGCTCCCGTTGCTCGGTCCCTGCTCCTGCCAACCTAACAGTTCGAAAGCACATCAAAGTGCAAGTAGATAAATAGGTACCGCTCCGGCGGGAAGGTAAACGGCATTTATTGGCCGAGGGAGCTGGTTTGCCAGAAGCGGCTTAGTCATGCTGGCCACATGACCCGGAAGCTGTAGGCCGGCTCCCTCGGCCAATAAAGCGAGATGAGCGCCGCAACCCCAGAGTCGACCACGACTGGACCTAATGGTCAGGGGTCCCTTTACCTTATAACATGTTGGCAGTGCTATTTTTCAAGAAAAAGACACTGCCGGAACTCACCATAAACACCTCTCGTGTTATCTTATACAGCTGTACCTTGGAAGTCGAATGGAATCTGTTCCCGAAGTCCATTTGACTTCCAAAACATTCAGAAACCAAAGTGTGGCTTCTGATTGGCTGCAGGAAGCTCCTGCCGCCAGTCAGAAGCCATGGAAGCCCCGTCGGATGTTCGGCTTCTGAAAATCATTCGAAAAGCGGAACACTCACTTCCGGGTTTCAATTGTTCGAGAGCCAATTTGTTTGGGAGCCAAGGTGTTCGAGATTCAATGTATAACTGTACAGTGGTACCTCCGGTTACAAACTTAATCTGTTTCGGAGGTCCATTTGTAACCCAAAACCACTCGCTAATGGCGCCTCCTGCTGCAGCCGCACTGCTAGCATGCAACTTCCACTCGCAAAGGTCGCAGCAAGGGGCATCTACTTCCAAGTTAGCGGAGCTCATAACCCGCAGCGTTCGGAAGAAGGACGATACATAACATGAGGTTCCACTGTAATGGCAACAGTGCCCACCTGAGAGGTACCAGAACCGAGTTCCAGCGAGTTCCTGCTTTAAAAAAAGCCATATATGTTGGGTGGCTGTATTAGCACTACCTAATCCAATCAGAAGGTCGGCGGTTCAAATCCCCGCGATGGGGTGAGCTCCTGTTGCTCGGTCCCAGCTCCTGCCAACCTAGCAGTTCAAAAGCACGTCAAAGTGCAGGTACAGTGGTACCTCGGGTTACATCCGCTTCAGGTTACATATGTTTCAGGTTACACACTCCGCTAACCCAGAAATAGTGCTTCAGGTTAAGAACTTTGCTTCAGGATAAGAACAGAAATCAGGCTCCGGCTGTGCGGCGGCAGCAGAAGGCCCCATTAGCTAAAGTGGTGCTTTAGTTTAAGAACAGTTTCAGGTTAAGAACGGACCTCTGGAACGAATTAAGTACTTAACCCAAGGTACCACTGTAGTTAAATAGGTACCACTCCGGCGGGAAGGTAAACGGTATTTCCGTGCACTGCTCTGGTTCGCCAGAAGCAGCTTAATCATGCTGGCCACATGACCCGGAAGCTGTACACTGGCTCCCTCGGCCAATAAAGCCAGATGAGCCCCAGAGTCGTCTGTGACTGGACCTAACAGTCAGGGTTCCCTTTACCTTTAATTTGCAATCTGTAAAGTAAATAAATAAATCTGCTAAGGCCTCCCTCTTGTGCACACCATAGCAATGTATGTAGCGGCTGCCGCATAAAAGCCGTGCAGCCACCACACTTTGCTGGAAGTTGCAGCAATGTCCCAGCAAAAATGTTTCCAGCCACTCCTTGCATATTTGAAAATATATGTGATCCTTTTTATTCTAACACCCTCCCCCCTCAAAGTTTAAGTACTACATGGAAAACTGCTTTTGTACCAGATTGGACTATGTTATCCATCTTGCTCAATATTGTCTACTTTGGCTGGCAGCAGCTCTCCTGATCTCCCTGATCCTTTTAGCTTGAGATCTCAGCCTGGGACTTTTTGCATCCAAAGCATCTGCTCTACAGCTGATCTACAGTCCGCCCATCCTGTCCCAGCGTACAATAATTCAGCATACAACATGTCACCTTTTCTAGAACGCTTTTACATCTTCAAAGAGCTTCACAATCCTTAGCTTTTATCTCCCGCAACAGACAAGGAAGAAGGCTAAGCCAAGGCAGTCTTTTGTCCGAGGCTACCCAGCAAACTAAGGGACGCGGGTGGCGCTGTGGGTTAAACCACAGAGCCTAGGACTTGCCGATCAGAAGGTCGGCGGTTCGAATCCCCGTGACGGGGTGAGCTCCCGTTGTTCGGTCCCTGCTCCTGCCAACCTAGCAGCTCGAAAGCACGTCAAAGTGCAAGTAGATAAATAGGTACCACTCTGGCGGGAAGGTAAATGGCATTTCTGTGCACTGCTCTGGTTCGCCAGAAGAGGCTTAGTCATGGTGGCCACATGACCTGGAAGCTGTACGCTGGCTCCCTCGGCCAATAAAGCGAGATGAGCGCCACAACTCTAGAGTCGGCTACGACTGGACCTAATGGTCAGGGGTCCCTTTATCTTTACCCAGCAAACTACGCAACATAAAAATAATTCGAGACAGGCCCATGCAGGGCAGGGGGCAGCAGGGTACACTCAGAGGGCTAAGTTGGCTGGGGGGTCTCCACCAGACTGCCATGCCAAGGATGCCCCATTTCTCCCAGCCAACTAGGGTCTTATTGGGCAAATCAGCCATGCTGTCTGTAGGCGCTGCATGGCTTCGATAGTAAAATCTGGATCTGCATTATTGTGTACTGGTGTGTAGTGTCAGGTCAGATTAGGCAATGGCACGACTGTGGCACATCTTACGGACAAGACGTCTGCCTTGGGCCTCAGACAAGCTCTGCATGGACCAGATTTGAGGCACATGCCAAAGGGAAAGGAAATCCTCACTATTTTTTATAACACATGGCAACCACTTCTGGAATACATGAGACAGTAAGCGCGATCCACCGAAATCCCATGGCAACATGTGCAAAGATTTCTTGGACTAAAATACAGGGGTGTGAGTTGATCTTTGAAAGCTGTCTGGTTGGTAGGTTTCAAGTTGAGTTATTGTGTGTATGTTCTTTGTAATTAATAAAGTTATTTAAAATAATAATAATTTGAGGCAGCTTCGCCCACCTCCAGCACAACCTGATGAACTGTATATATGAGGCTTTTAATTTCTATGCAAATTGATGTGGAAATATGCCTCTATGAGAGAGAGAGAAGACAGAGGAGGAGGAGGAAGAGGATTCATAAAACCAACGTGTTAACCATCTTGCCTGCAAGTTTCATATTGGTTGCTCAACTTGTATTTGGCTGAGAGTCCATGCGCACCTCTGACGTAAAGATTCAAACCATTTTACGCTTTCCTTTTTTTAATGAGGCATCTCCTCTCGGATGTGAAATAATCAAGCAGTTCCTGGGAACTGGGAAGCATTGCCCTAACTAGATGTTCATACCTTTCCAATCCATATTGATTTAAAATTCTCTGTGGGCAGGTGAATTTCAAATTAACGCTCCTGGCTGGCGGTTCCCTACACGGGACTATCACGTACAGTGGTACCTCGGGTTAAGTACTTAATTTGTTCCGGAGGTCTGTACTTAACCTGAAACTGTTCTTAACCTGAAGCACCGCTTTAGCTAATGGGGCCTCCCGCTGCCACCATGCCTCCGGAGCACGATTTCTGTTCTCATCCTGAAGCAAAGTTCTTAACCTGAAGCACTATATCTGGGTTAGCGGAGTCTGTAACCTGAAGAGTATGTAACCTGAAGCGTATGTAACCTGAGGTACCACTGTATATCAAAGAGTGCTTTTAAAATAGGGATACCAGTGCTCTTTTTTCTAAATGTTTAGGGGTACTCTCATTTTCCTACTCATATTGAAATACTGCCCCTCAATGAGGCCAAACTTAGATTCACAACATGTTTAGGGCTATGCGTACCCCTGCGTGGCCCCCCCCCCGAAAAAAAGCACTGGTAATTACTATGAGCGTATGTTAATTGCCACTACTCCATATAACATGTCCTAAAGCAATTCACAATCATAAAAGCATACATAATGCAATGTTTAAAACATACATCGAAAAGATAAAATAACATTTTACCAGGTTCTGTTTAGTTGTGTCTCTTGTTTCCATGGATTCAGGCCAGAATTATGGGGTTGTTTCTCAGACAGGACCTTGACTCGTTTTATGAAGGCAAGAGGAGCTTTATTTGCCGATCATCTAACAGCAAGCATCCATCGCCTTTTATAACTCTTCTCACGGCCCTCCTCAAGATTTCTCCTCCCATTTCCACCCCCTTTCCATACACACCCAAACCTCCAGGCTCTTTCTGGCCTTCACAACCTGCCTTTTTTTACACACATCCCTCCCATGACAGGATGTCCTTGGAGATGCAATACACCACATGCTGGTTCTATGTTATTACGCTATCACAGAGATTTAATCTCGGCCGCAAGGAGATCTTGCCTTAGTAATACTTTCTAATTTGCATTAGCAATACTACTTTATTTTTCTGCAACTTGCATGAGTCATACCGCTTTCTTTGTTTGCTAACCCTGGACTTAATCATATGTATGCAACTGGGAACAGTGACCATAGCGCTATCAGATTCAGCAAATATTAGATCTGCAAATGGCGGATAAAACCAAACACAGTTGTGTTTGACTTCAAATGAGGAATCTTCGAAAAGATGCGAGGGGATTGGCAAAAGGAAGCTGGAAGGCAAAGAAGAGGCTCAAATCTTTCCAGAACGCCTGGGGGCTGTTCAAAACCACAATAAGCAGAGTTCAGCTGTACAGTGGTACCTCGGGTTAAGTACTTAATTTGTTCCGGAGGTCTGTTCTTAACCTGAAACTGTTCTTAACCTGAAGCACCACTTTAGCTAATGGGGCCTCCTGCTGCTGCCCCGCCGCCGGAGCACGATTTTTGTTCTTATTCTAAAGCAAAGTTCTTAACCTGAAGCACTATTTCTGGGTTAGCGGAGTGTGTAACCTGAAGCGTATGTAACCCAAGGTACCACTGTAATTTATACCGCAGATCGGGAAAGGGTAGCACCTAAGCCAAGGGGATTTCAGCATGGTTGAAAAGGGTCAAAGAAGCTATTAGAAGCAATAAGGTTTCCTTTAGCGTTTTTATTCCTGTTTTTATTCAGTTAATGGCATTTTTCAATTGCCTTGCACATTAAAATGTAAAACAGCTTGACAGGTTAAACTAGGACCCATAAAAGCAGTTTAAAACCAGGGGGGGAATTAAAACCCATAAAAAAATAAAGAGAAAGAATTCTGCATATAAAGAATTGAGTACAATAGCAACTAGAGGAGGAATAGAAAGAATTATCATTTGAGTACAGCAAAAGCAGCAAGGAAATGATATAACTAGAAAAACAAAAGACGTGTGTGGGGAGAAAGCGATAAAATCTACCTTTTAAAAAGAGTGGGTGGGGAAAAGTAATTTGGTCTAAGAAACATCAAACCATGTAACAGATGCTGCTGCTTTCATCCTAGACTCTATAAAAAACTGTGTGTTAAACTAGTTGAAAAATCCCCTTAGCTTGTTTTCAAGCAACTTTTTCCACTTCTACTTAGAAAAATAAAGCTTATTGGAACCAATTTTAAATTCTACTTACCCATCAGAAAATTACTCTCAGATGCCTACAATATTATTTGCAATGTGATGAGAAGGAATCCAGTCTCATTAAAATCGATTTGGGAAATGGATTTGCACTGTGAAACTGATAACACAAACAAGCAACAAGCCTTTGCAATTATTTTGGGAAAAGGTATTTGAATACACATAGCACAAGCTGATCCAAGGATAACTTTACTAAATCTTACTTAGTTGGTCTCTAAGGTGCTACTGGAAGGAATTTATTTTATTTTGTTTTGTTTTGTTTTGCTTCGACTACGGCAGACCAACACGGCTACCTACATGTAACTTTACTAAATCTGTCTACGGATACCGATAATAATTTACTATTTAATGAACCTACTAATCTTCCTCATGTCTGCAACAAGATACCTGTTAGTACAATACAGTATTGGAAAACAGCTACAAACTTAACTCCAGAGGCATGGTAAGGCAGACCACAGACCACAACACTTATGGAGAAACTAACTAAGTATATTAGGGCACTAAGAACCACAAAGGCTGAAGATGATTTTGGAACAGTATAGTGCATGTTTATTAATAACACTGGAAAGGAGAGTGCTATCTCTTCCCCACCCACGGTTCGCTATGAAACAATCTGTTAAGGCAGAGATTAAAAGACACTTCACTGATAACGCTTAAAATATTGTACAAACCAGCTCAATATTGAAATGTATTGTTTACCATTGAATACGCATGGAATTTTTATTGGAGGTGGGGGGATATATGGGGATTGCTTGTTGTAAGTCTTTTCAGACACTGGAAAATTAAGTTAAGAAAAGAATCATTCAGTGGAGGGGAAAGCCCTCTCTTTATCTACTTTATCTACTGTGGATTTCCACTGAATGAATCAGAATTGAGATTTAAGCACTAGACTCCTGTTGCAGCCTGTGCCGCAAACACTTGCAAATCTGTAGAAGTCACGACATGGGTCAGAGACACCAAACAGCCATACAGTGGTACCTCGGGTTAAGAACTTAATTCGTTCTGGAGGTCCGTTCTTAACCTGAAACCGTTCTTAACCTGAGGTACCACTTTAGCTAATGGGGCCTCCTGCTGCTGTTGCGCCGCCGGAGCACGATTTCTGTTCTCATCCTGAAGCAAAGTTCTTAACCCGAGGTACTCTTTCTGGGTTAGCAGAGTCTGTAACCTGAAGCATCTGTAACCTGAAGCGTCTGTAACCCGAGGTACCACTGTATTGTGAATACAGTGGTACCTCTAGTCTCAGTAACTTCCTCTTGTCACATTTATTTTCCAGGTTGTACAGTCTGCACACAGTGGCAATGTTCACCTCATTTTCAAACAGGGAGGCATGTCTTACGAACTTAATTCATTCTGGAGGTCCGTTCTTAACCTGAAACTTTTCTTAACTAGAGGCGTGCTTTCGCTAATGGGGCCTCTTGCTGCCGCTGCGCCGCCGGCACACGATTTCCGTTCTCATCCTGGGGCAAAGTTTCCAACTCGAGGTAACTCTTCCGCATTAGCGGAGTTTGTAACCTGAAGCTTTTGTAACCTAGGGTGTTTGTAACTCGAGGTACCACTGTACGAACTTAATTCGTTCCGGAGATCCGTTCTTAACCTGAAACCGTTCTTAACCTGAGGTACCACTTTATCTAATGGGGCCTCCCACTGCCGCTGCGCCACAGCCGCGCAATTTCTGTTCTCATCCTGAGGTAAAGTTCTTAACCCGAGGTACTACTTCTGGGTTAGTGGAGTCTGTAACATGAAGCGTTTGTAACCCGAAGTGTTTGTAACTCAAGGTACCACTGTAGTTTGTTCCTTTGCTGCAGTGAGTGGACAATTCCCTAAGTAATAGAGATGCAAGCATTATGCCTGCTTCATGTGTCAGGGGGAGGATACCCAGATTTGCACCCTCAGGACATCTGGAATTTCCTATCTCCCTTTATTCTTTTGCATATTCCAAATACAATTCAAATCCCCTCCCCTTAATATAATTCCTCCTTCAGAAAACTTTTATGAACTTCATGCTCTAGGAAGGGGACGGTACTGGTTATCTCGAGTGTCTCTGTCCCTGAGGACCTTTGGTTGGTTCCCCCCCCCCCTGTTGTTTGCTGCCAGCCTCCTATCCTCTTCGCTGCCCTTGGAGCTGCCTGTGTCATCCTCTAAAACTGCTGTTTGCATCTGCCACCAAACTGCTGTTTGCATCTGTGTGGTTGCTGTCAGCACCTTGGAATCATGGGATGCTATCAAGCTGGAATGGAAAATTCCCAGTCATCTCTCACCCCTGCAGAGGAGCGTAACTTTCCTGCAACTTGCTTAAAGTCCTTTTTTTTTTTTTTTGCAATGTACCTGCACAGAGATCCTGGAAAGTTAGTAATTTCACTCCTTCCCATTCTGTGTTGGGTACTGCTTGGGCGTTTCACATTTCTTTTTACGGCGCACACCTGAAGAATTTTAGGCGTCTGGGATGTTGCTAGTATCGGAAATGTCTGGGAAAACCTCTTTAAATCATGCCAATGAGGTGGTAATTAAATCCTGCCTTCCCCATATCTTCAAGGACGCCTCTCAGTCTCAGATTACTTGTGTTATTTATGTTCTTCCAGGGTATCCACCGTAGGCAGCAGATTCGCAGTGACTTTAGTAAAGGTCTCAATGGAAGTGTTGTGCCTCAGGCCTATTCCTATTGTAGACTCTGCAGTCTTTTCAGAGGAATCCTTTTAGAATTGTTGCACAGTGCTATTTTTCTAGAAAAAGAGGTACCAGAACTCATCATGAATGTCTCCCTTGTTCTCTCGTCATGGCAACTGCACCCACCTGAAAGGTGCCAGAACTGAGTAAGTTCCAGCTGGGGAAAAATGGCCCTGGTTGTAGCTCTCAAGGGCTCCCAGTCCTCCCTCAGTAACACGTGCTATTATTCTTGCCGCACTAGGACTTGCTTCCCTTTCAGAGTGGATCAGAAACGTTCTCACTCAGTGCATGGTTTTAGCTGAGGATGCATATCACCCCGAGATTCTTGGATCATTGCCCACTTGATCCACCTGCTTACCTGGCGGTTTTGTGACTTTATACAATTCTTTAAAAGAAATAATGCAGCTGCGAGCGTGGCAGTTGGCTCACCTGCCATCTTGAATGATGACATCGCAACTTCTCTCTCCCCCCCCCCCAATTTTCCAGGTTTCTTGACCTTCTGCAGCTGAATGAGTTGGCTGCACCACATTTTTCTGAACAATAGGCCACATGTAACCAGAAAATCAGAATAACCACCATTCAACAAGCATAAGATCCAAAGTATTATTCAATTTTGTCCCGATTTCCTACTGCTTGAAATATATCAGAATAAAATAATAATATTGTGGTATGGGAGCTATAAGTAGCTATTAGAGAATCAGCATGTTAAGCTCGATTAGAGTATCAGACATAGATTGGGGAGATCTGCCTCAAAATCCTCCTCACAGAGCTACTATCCTCAGCCCTCTTAGCAAACTACGGTACCCAGAATTCTTTGTGGGAACTCATGTGCTTTGGACATGATTTAAATGTATGGTGTAGATCTGTATTAAGAGTCGCTTTCAGAACCAATCCTGTTCTGTTCTTCAGCTTCTCTTTTTGCACAGGGGAGCAAATGTCTACACCACTTGTGACTACCTCAAGGAAGCTTTCTATGTGTGTAGGCAAGAGATCCCTGTCAGATCATATTCTCACCCCACAAACCTCCATTTCTTTCCTATTGACAGTGGCATTCCTTAAGCCAGTGGGCATCCTTGGAATTTTGAGAAAGGGCACCCATCACAAGATGGCTGCTGTGGGGAATGGAGCAACACAAAATGGCTGCCACCTCTCAAAGAACAGAAAAAAGAGCCAACCTAGACACACATAGGGCATTCACATAAGTAGGGGGAAATGACATCTACACCACTGCTGCGCTTGCTCAGAGAGAGCTCTTTGCTTCTTTCCACTATGGATAGGAAGGTGGCTGTCCAACTGCAACGTCCAATGAAATGTGTCCAAGCTTAATGGGGTATGTTCCAATGTGAACAGGAACTGAGCAGAAGGCACAAACAGCCTCTCATGTGCACTGTGGATTTTTGAGGGGATATTTACTGAGACCTTTCACAGACACTGGAGGTACTGGTGGGCAGTCTTAGCACTCATGCACACCACATTGTTATCTGGCACTATGAGGCCCTCAGCGCCTCCTGAAGACAGGTCAATGCATGATTGAGGGTGGTTTCACCTCTAGCAGCTTGAGCCAGCTGCCACCATCACACCCACCCCCTGCTAATTAAAAACAAAACCCAGGTGCAACGTTCTGCAATATTTTTCTTTATTTGGTACCCAAGTACATGGGGGTGTGGGGTGTGCTGAAACTCATTAGCTGGGAATGGGGTGGTGGCAGCAGTCTTTGGGGCACCCAGGCAGTTATAGGAAAAGGCAAGGGGAGTTATGAGCAAAGATGGAAACCCATCTACATGACTAAATGAGCAAGGGACAGCAGGCTGTGGTTGCGTCGATTGGGCAGTTGGGCTTTGGGCAGTGAGGCTACAGGGAACCAGACAGAGGGCCTTCTCAGTAGTAGCGCCCGCCCTGTGGAACGGCCTCCCATCAGATGTCAAAGAGATAAACAACTACCTGACATTCAGAAGGCAGCCCTGTTCAGGGAAGTTTTTAATATTTAACGCTGTACTGTTTTTAACACTTGATTGGGAGCCGCCCAGAGTGGCTGGGGAAACTCAGCCAGATGGGCGGGGTATAAATAATAAATTATTTTTATTATTATTATTATTATTAGTAGTAGTAGTAGTAGTAGTAGTATGTAGACGATTGATGTCTGTAGTGATGTGTGTGGTTTGCCTTGTGGGGTAGGCTGTCGAGTGTTTTGCGGTGGTCCCCCCCCCCCAAAGCTCAACAACTCTGGGCAATCTCCCCCCAAAAAGTGCAAGAACTCTGAGCAATTCCCCCCCCCCAAATTATTTTGTTGCAGTCCCAAAAAATAGGGGTCGTTATACACAGAAAAATAGGGTAAGTACACATAGCATAATCTCTCAAAAGGGCTTGATTGGGAGCTCTTAAGATGGGTGAAACGTGATGGGACCTCAAGCCTCACCATGAACTCACATCCTCTTACCCAACTCACATCTAACCAACTCAAGAAGATGGAGTCAGACTGCCTGGTCACAATTCAGCGTCCTGCATCTCTCAGTCTGAGCAAGCTAGGTAAGGTCTTTCTGAATGGCACCAGTTGCCTCTCCTGTAAATCCCTCCCAAAAGGAGGGTTGCCGAAGTCTGCAGCTCCTAGTCCCTGTGGTTGCCAGCAGAGGGTTGGAAGGCACCCACAGAGGCTTTCACCCTGCTCAAACGGAGCCCTTGCCATCTCCCATCAGCTTGGCATGGTAGGGAGGGCAGAGAATCCCAAATAGCGCCATCTGCCTCTGCTTGAGCAGGGCACCCCTGAGCCCCCACCCCAAGCCCCCAGACATCGCTGCATGCAGGTGAACTCCTGGCCGCCTGTTCATTTCTTCTTTTTCTCCTGTGTGCTGGTAAACCAGGAGTCCAGCAGCTTCTTGCTGTAATACAGCTGCCAGCCGTGAACCTGCACGGCGACCACCACCAGCAAGTACATGACGGAGACGGCGGAGAAGCCAAAGATGAAGCGGTAGGCCTTGCCGTGGCGGTAGAGCTGCTGCGCCATCGGGAACATCTCCATGCTGCCGTAGATGAGAGGCGCCACTGAGAAAAGGCCCGTGCTGATCATGGAGATGACCAGGTAGCTGATGTTGTTCCGCGGGAAGGAGAAGAGGCCGAAGAGCGAAGGGATGATGCTGAGCAGGTACGGGTATTCCCACTGGTAAGGCATGGCCACCTGGTCGTGGGGCAGCAGCTTGAAGTGAGCGATGCACATCTGCGCTGCCACCAGAAGCCACAGCGCTATCTGCATGTAGATCAACTTCTTAATCTCGGACTTGAGGGACACACTGTGGGAAGCAGAGAGGGAGGGGGCGGCAAGGGTGAGCAAGAGCCAGCACTAAAAGGTAATTTCAAATATGGGGGTGAGATACTCAACACCAAGACAAACTGGTGAAGAACTAGGCAGAATGACATAGGCTATAAGCTAAGAAAAACCCAAACAAACCCAAACCCAAAGCAGGGAGTTGATTTTCTGGATGTTAACCCCTACCATCTCAGACTGCAGAATTATAATATTATTGCTATTTATTAATGTATGTACCACTTCATGCCAAAATAAGCTTCTAAGCCAGTGTTTCTCAACCTGTGGGTCCCCAGATGTTGTTGGACTACAACTCCCATCATGCCTAGCCAGCATGACCAGTGATCAGGGATGATGGGAGTTGTAGTCCAACAACATCCAATGTAGCATGTTTTCGTTTTTGTGTCACTTATTCTCATCTCAGATCCCCAGACATTGTTGCAATGCAACTGCCACCATCCCTGACTGCTGGCTAGGGATAACGACAGCTGTAGTCCAGCAACATCCAGGGACCCAGAGTTGACGGACGCTGCTCTACATCCTCAACCATGTGCCCTCAAGTGCTGCTGGACTACAACTCCCATCACCTGTGACCACAGGCCAGGATGACAAAGGCCGAAAGGATTTGGAGTCCAACATAGGCTGCTCTCGACCAATTGGGCAAAAGAATTCCGACTGTACTTATCTGTGGCGATTGGGATGATCCTATTTTAAAGAACAGAGAATCAAATATTTTATGGGGCGTGTTGCTGCTAATTGAATACTAATATTCTGCAAGGAAGGTGGAGCTGCAATCCAGCTGCCAGCTTTTTTTAAAAAAAGAACAAATTTCCTGTGCCTTTAGCAGCCGCACAAGAAATCAAAATTCAGTAGAGGAAAACTTTTCCTAGCATGCAGATACTGTGATGGAGAAGGCCTGGCCAGCTGAATCTCCAGCTGTGTGAAAGACACAGGCAGAGGAAAAACAAAACAAAACCTCATTAGTAGGTGGCCGAGCCATCAACCTCTTCACACAACACATAATCTCCCCCCCCCTCCCGTCTTACTGCATAGTGATTTACCGGGCGATCTGCATAATGACTTTACATGCATTTAGCTTTCCCCCACCCACACTTTTGAGCAAGAGGGCGGCGGCGAAAACGCAACGACGCAGCCCCAAAGCTGCCCGATAAGCGGACGGGGGGGGACCCCACGGAGGCGAATGACTAAGGAGGGATGACAGCGGGAAGCTCCGGCAACGTGCACTGCTGCGGAGGCGGGGGAAGAAGCCTGGTTTCGCCCGCTGGGCGCGCGGCTTGCTGGCCCCAGCCCCCACCCCGCGCGGCACCTCATTTGGTAGTGCTTTGCCACGCGCTCCCGGTGCTGGAAGTCGCTGCCGTCGGTTCCAGCGGCTCGAGGTCCCGCGCGGGACGCCATCTTTCACCAGGAGGGTTAGCGAACCCAAGTGCGCATGCGTCAAACTAAGGCTGTTCCCTTCGCGTCGGTGGCTATAATGTTGGAAGCGAGGGGGGCGGATGTTTGCTCCCTGCGCCTCTCTGATTGGTAGCTCTCGCCGTCTCTCGTGTGATGCTGACCAATCCCCTAGTAGGAGAAGGAAAGGCGGGGGGGGGGCGGTGCCAATGCGAAACTACATTTCCCAGCGGACCTAGCGAGCCATTTCGGGTTTAATCCTTCCTCCGCCGATTTGGGCGCGCGTGGGTCTGAACGGAGCCTTCTGCTCTCCTCGGGGTCGCGATGTTCCGCTCGAGCCGTTGGTGCCTCCTCTGCGGGTGCGGAAGGCCGTTCAGCTCCCGCGCCTGGTAAGAGGCTCGTGAGGAAACTGGGCAGGGAGTCGGTTTGTCTCCCCCCCCCCACTGTGTATCCCACTCTTTCCTCTCAGCCTGTGCCAGGCAGAAATTCAACAGGGGTGGTTTGGTCGTCGTCCCCCAACACCGGGGGTCTAAGTGATAGGAGGGAGGCATCACTTGTTGAGCTTCCAAAGCTAGCCAGTGTGGTGTAGTGGTTAAGAGCGGTAGTCTCCTAATCTGGTGAACCGGGTTCGCTTCCCCGCTCCTCCACATGCAGCTGCTGGGTGACCTTGGGCTAGTCACACTTCTGTGAAGTCTCTCAGCCCCACTCACCTCACAGAGTGTTTGTTGTGGGGGGGGGAAGGGAAAGGAGATTGTTAGCCGCTTGGAGACTCCTTAAAAGGTAAAGGTACCCCTGCCCATACGGGCCAGTCGTGTCCGACTCTAGGGTTGCGTGCTCATCTCGCTCTAGAGGCCGTGAGCTGGCGCTGTCCGAAGACACTTCCAGGTCACGTGGCCAGCGTGATGAAGCTGCAGCTGGCGAGCCAGCACCAGCGCAGCACACGGAAACGCCGTTTACCTTCCCGCTAGAAAGCGGTCCCTATTTATCTACTTGCACTTAAGGGTGCTTTCGAACTGCTAGGTTGGCAGACGCTGGGACCGAGCAACGGGAGCGCACCCCGCCGCGGGGATTCGAACCGCCGACCATGCGATCGGCAAGTCCTAGGCGCTGAGGCTTTTACCCACAGCGCCACCCGCGTCCCTCTTGAGACTCCTTAGGGTAGTGATAAAGCGGGATATCAAATCCAAAAACTCCAAAAGGTGGCTGCAATGATAATGAGGCCCGGACGTTTCTTCTGGATACAGATTTAAGTTACTGGAAGGAAGCTCCTGACTCTTCCTTGACGCACCAGCGTCCTGTGAAATGGACAGAGGTGTACAGGGTTGAGCCAGGGTTCCTTAGGGGCTTGGCCCCGGGAACCTATTTCTAGTGTTAAGGCCTAATTCTGAAAAGTATGGTTAAAGAAAAAACACACCTCCAAGCACGTGCAGAGTGCCTTTTGCTTTAATCAGTATGTGCAACCTGGTATTAGGAGGCAGGAGAGCTAAAGTAGGTAATGGGTTTTTTAAATGCAACATTGAGCCACTTTCGCCCCACAAAAACCCTGCGGGTGGTTTGACTGACGAGTTGGGAACGTGGGGAGAGGCTGTCAGTTGAGGTGGTGGAGAGAATATTGGATGGCACTGGGTGCGAGTGAAGGGAGATATTTGGGGGGGGGGGAGAGGGAATCGGAAGGTGTTTGAAATCTGGTTGGATAGGGGTTGAGTTTGTGAAAAGTGTCGTGTGGTAGATAATAAGCCCTCTCTCCCCGCTGGCCCTAAATGTGCTCATTTGTGTGTCTTACTGATTTCAGTTAGATTTAGAGAGCTAGTGTGTCTCCTTTCTGACATTGGCTAATGTTACAACTACCCTATGAGAGAGATGGAGATGGAGGCATAGAAGAACACCATCATTAACATCTGTTTTAAAACTGGCTCCCTAGGGTCCCTTTTGCTGGCTGTTGCCCATAATCAGAATAACCAATTCTCTACATACATATTCCAATTTCGTTTTTCTCCCCCCGCGTAAACTCATTTGCTTGATCACTCTGTATTCTGAGCCCCTTGATGGGCAGACCCATTATATAATCCAAAGCTGTTGTTAGCAGCTTCTCTCATAGATGCAAGATATAAATCCAGATCAATATTTATGTATTGTTAGAGGAAGTTAAGAGTGGCAGGCAAGCTGTGTGTAGAAGGAGCCAGTGTCAGAATGGGAGAGGAAAGTATGGAGCTTAAGGCCAGCTGGCTATATATTGGTGATTATTTATGGTTTCTTATTTTGTAGGTATCAGTTGCTGCAGAAGCAAAGAGGCTCACGGAAGCCAGTCACAGACAACTCCAGTGAAGGAAGCATCTTGAGTCCCACAAGATCACTCAGCCCCGAGGAAACGTTGAACCTGCTGGAAGCATCAGTAGTGCATGCAGATGGTATGTCTGTCATTTCTCATAACACTAGAACGACATGTGAAAAGGATTTTGGGGTTGTAGCCTTAATCCAGAATGCGGCAGCTAGATTGGTGACTGGGAGTGGTCACCGGGACCACATAACACCGGTCCCGAGAGATCTGCATTGGCTCCCAGTACATTTCCGAGCACAATTCAAAGTGTTGGTGCTGACCTTTAAAGCCCTAAACGGCCTCGGTCCTGTATACCTGAAGGAGCGTCTCCACCCCCATCGTTCTGCCCGGACACTGAGGTCCAGCACCGAGGGCCTTCTGGCGGTTCCCTCATTGCGAGAAGTGAGGTTACAGGGAACCAGACAGAGGGCCTTCTTGGTAGTGGCGCCCACCCTGTGGAACACCCTCCCTTCAGATGTGAAGGAAATAAGCAGCTATCCTATCTTTAAAAGACATCTGAAGGCAGCCCTGTTCAGGGAAGTTTTTAATATTTAATGCTGTACTGTTTTTAACATGTGATTGGGAGCCGCCCAGAGTGGCTGGGGAGACTCAGCCAGATGGGCGGGGTATAAATAATAAATTATTATTATTGTTGTTATTATTATTATTATTATTACTACTACCACAAGCAGCACATGAATCAGTAAGTGTGATGCAGCTGCAAGGAAGGCTAATAAGATTTGAGGATGCATTAATAGAACCATAATTTCTAACTTGCTGGAAGTAATTGTTCCCGTTCATTCTGCACAAATCAGACCTCAACCAGAATACAGTCGTACCTTGGATCCTGAACACCCTGGAGCTCAGATGTTTTGGCTCCCGAATGCTGCAAACCCAGAAGTGATTGCTCTGGTTTGTGAACATTCTTTTGGAACCTGAATGTGCTGCAGCCAATCAGAAGCCACAGTTTGGTTTTCGAATGTTTTGGAAATTGAACAGACTTCCGGAACGGATTCTGTTTGACTTCCAAGGGATGACTGTACTGTGTCTGGTTTGGGGTGCTGCATTTTAAGAAGGATGTGGACAAATTGGGACAAATTTAGTGTTCTAGTGGGGTGGGTGAAGACGCAGTTTCACATAGCTTAGCCCTAGAGTGTTATAATTCAGACCTGCCTGCACAACCTGTGCTCACCAAGCTGAATGCAGCTCTCAAGCCATGTATGATGGCTTTCCAGATACTGCACTTGACAACTTATGCTGGGTTTTCAGCCCAAGCAAGATACAGGCAGTAAAAATAGGTGTATAGATCCTCTGTTGGTCTGCCATACATGGTTAGTGAGCTGCATTCTTCCTAATTGTATAGACCTGGTGTAAGCGAATGGAAAAAAACGTTGAGAGTAAAAACTGGCCTATTAGCCTTGGCTGCTCTAGCGGAGGATTGTGAAACTTGCAGTAGATCCCCATTCTGCTTAGGCTGAAAGTGTGCAGAATGTTGCTTGCATAGCACACCTTTGTGTGTTTATGTATTCTCTCTCTCTCCACAGCCCTGTCCCGATCCCTCTGAATTTGGTGTCTTTTGTTTAGAATGCTGCTATCCAAAAAAAGTTGTTGGGGAGAAGGGGGCATACATTTGAAAGGGAAAGGAAATATAGAGATGGTGGAGAGGAACAGGGATTTCTGCTTATACAAGAAGGCCCTTTCCCCGAGCATGGAAAATTCCACCCAGAGCCTCCTTTCGATTCTGCATTGTGGCAGAGGTTGTTGACATGTGTTGGAGTTGTTTTGAAGACTCCAGCAATCACCATTTGTCCCTGAGGCTCCTGGTTCTTTTGTATTTCAGGTTCACTGGTGGCCATCAGCAAACCCCCTGGCTTACCTGTGACAGGTATGCGGCGTTACATTTTGATGTGTTTGGATCCTGTGGGGTTGCGTCCCTTGGGCATTTCCTTTTAAAGTGGAAATGCAGGATTATAGAAATGCCTTTAGAAATACATACAGATATGCCTGTAGTGTACAGATTAAATATGTGTTGTATGTGGCCTCCCCTTGCGCTTGGCAGTTAGTGCAGAATGCTGCAGCACAATTACTGACAGGAGGGAGGCCTTCTCAGCATATAACACCTGTACTCAGAGGTCTGCACTGGTTGCTGATCCACCACTAGGCTGAGTTCAAGGTGTTACTATTAGTATACAAAGCCCTTAACAACACTTGACTAGTTTACCTGTGAGATTGCCTTACCCCACATGTGCCCGCTGAACTGCTTTGATTGGCAGAATTGGAACTTTTACAGATGCCACATTATATTCACACTGCATCTGTCAGAACTTGATCATTTCGTGTGGCGGCACCGACACTTGGGTACTCCCTGCCTGTTGATATCAGTCAGACACCTTCACTCTATTCTGCTGGAGGCATTCTTATTTAGACAAGCCTATCCAGATGTTAGGGACGCGGGTGGCACTGTGGGTTAAAGCCTCAGCGCCTAGGACTTGCCGATCGAAAGGTCGGCGGTTTGAAACCCCGCGACGGGGTGCGCTCCCGTCGTTCGGTCCCAGCGCCTGCCAACCTAGCAGTTCGAAAGCACCTTCGGGTGCAAGTAGATAAATAGGGACCGCTTACCAGCGGGAAGGTAAATGGCGTTTCCGTGTGCGGCTCTGGCTCGCCAGAGCAGCGATGTCACGCTGGCCACGTGACCCGGAAGTGTCTGCGGACAGCGCTGGCTCCCGGCCTATAGAGTGAGATGAGCACACAACCCTAGAGTCTGGCAAGACTGGCCCGTACGGGCAGGGGTACCTTTACCTTTACCTTATCCAGATGTTGCGCTGTGGGTTAAACTACAGAGCATAGTACTTGCCAATCAGAAGGTCAGCAGTTTGAATCCCCGCGATGGGGTGAGCTCCCGTTGATCGGTCCCTGCTCCTGCCAACCTAGCAGTTCGAAAGCATGTCAAAGTGCAAGTAGATAAATAGGTACCACTCCGGCGGGAAGGTAAACGGTGTTTCCGTGCGCTGCTCTGGTTTGCTGTAGGCTGGCTCCCTCGGCCAATAAAGCGAGATGAGTGCCGCAACCCCAGAGTCGTACACGACTAGACCTAATGGTTAGGGGTCCCTTTACCTTTATCCAGATGTTCAGAAAGTTTGTATGAATTTTAATTTGTTTTAGTTTATTCTATTATGGTTTTAACTTTCTGTATGTTTTAAATTACCATTGTAAATTTTTTTAGTGATAATTTTTAAAAAAAATTTTGTAAACTGCTTCGAGGTTTTTTTTCTACAATCAAGTGGTATATACATTTTGTGAAATAATAAGTAAATAACTGAGCTCCCAAAGTAAAGCTGGACCAGGGTGGGAAGGGCTGGCAAGCCTTTGCCAAAACAAGCCTCTTCTTTGCAGCTGTGAGTAATGGCTAGCTTCTGTGTGGCATTAATAATTTTTCCCTCCTTCTCTGCCAACAACAGGCAAACCGGGGGAGCTGACCTTGCTGTCTCTTTTACCGGATCTAAGCCAGAAGCTTGGCTTCCCACAGAACCTCGATGTGATAAAAGCTGCAGTAAAGTAAGTAAACGGAGACAAGGCTTTGGAGAGAATGACAACAGGCTGTGTACAGGATGGGTGTTATTGATTTTAACCCCACCTTTCTTCCACCATAGAACTTAAGGCAGCCTGCATGTGCTCCCATCCAGATACTACTTTGCTTTAGCTTCCCATCCTGCACCTCCAGACCATGCCCTGACATAATCAGCAAGAGGGCATTCAGTAAAATCTGATTAAACTGCTGTATTGCAAGAGAACCCATAGCACAGAAGTTAGACAGCTGATCTGTACTACAGCTCCAGTTTTCTGGATATTATCGTGTGCTCCGAATTCACTTCAGAACGTCTGTATGCAAAAAATAAAATAAAAATGGTTGCCAGGGGCTAGTGGAAAGATTCGTGATTGGCTCTTGGAAGTCAAAAGATTGCGAGGCTGGAGCAACTCCCTATAAGGGAGGTTATATAACGCTTGGAGATTACTCGCCTAGAAAAAGGGACAACAGTCAAGGACTATTTGAATAAATACAGTGGTGCCTCGCAAGACAAAATTAATTCGTTCCGCGAGTTTTTTCGCCTTGCGATTTTTTTCGTCTTGCGAAGCACGGTTTCGGGAAAGTTTTGGGAAAAGCTTCAAAAATCACCAAAGTATTCAAAAACCTCAAAAAAGGCTACCACACCGCGTGCTATGAGTTGCTCCTCGAAGTCAAGTCGCAACTGTATTAACGGTGTTAAGAAAAAGGAAACAAACTTGCAAGACGTTTCCGTCTTGTGAAGCAAGCCCATAGGGAAAATCGTCTTGCGAAGCAACTCAAAAAACCAAAAACCCTTTCGTCTTGCGAGTTTTTTGTCTTGCGAGGCATTTGTCTTAAGAGGTACCACTGTATTGTAATATTAAAAATTAGAAATTACTTGAAAGTACCAAATAGGCCTAGGATTAAATTAGGATTTATTTAAATAAATGGGATTTAGAACACTAAGAAAAGTGAATAAATTTGATTATAATTGGAATATTGTTGTTTAATAATGATATTGGAAAGCTGTTACATTCAGACACAAGGAAATTCAGAAGGGAGGGACTAGAGGAAGTCAAGTAATATAAGGTTGGATTTTTAAATAATTAAGTTTGTGTTGTATATTTGTTGTTGTTTTTCATAGATGTATTTTTTGTTTTTGCTTTGGTTTGTTTCACGGTTGTGCAACGTTTGTTGCAGTATTTGTTATAATTGTAGAAAACTTAATAACAATTATTGTGGGGGGGAGAAAGAAAAAGGGACAACAGGGTGGGGAGACATGACAGAGGTATATAAAATAGCCTCAGATACTGGCGGGAACTTGTAGCTGTTGTGACCTTTGGCCATTGATGCCACCTTGCGTGGTTTTAAGCAAGGCACTATTCTGTCCATGGGATTACTTACTCATGGCCTGTGTCAGAGAATCAAAGATAATAAAGGATTTTGCCTCTCCCTAGGGAGAGTTCTGGACTTGTTCTGCTCTCAGGTTGCCCGAGCACCACCCAGCGCCTCCAGGATTTCTATGCCCGATGTAGGAGAGCAGGAGATCCAGCCGCTACCTACTGGTGAGATGAAGACTTCCTAATTGCTTCCCGTTTCCATGGTAGGGTGGAGATCCCTCAGCAAAAAGACTTTAGGTTCCCATTCTGCCTTCCCCATTTCCTTCAAAGCGTTGTAGGCCCAGTTTGGTGTGTGTGTGGCCTGACAGAAAACCTTCTCTCTGCAGTGCTGTCACTACCAGGATCCCTGCAGCCTCGGAAGGGGAAATTCGTACATGTCTCAAACTGATACAGGTCGAAGACCATAAGCTGGTGAGGATAGGTTTTTAACAGGGAAGGAGGAGAGGATTTGACTAGAGAATTTGCCTGCTGCTGTGGGCAGCTCGTTCAGTGGAGTCCTTGCAGGGCCTGAAAAGTTTGGTCTTGCTTCCTCTGGGATCCGGTTGCCTGGACTGGGCGCAGGGATTACTTTAGCTGCTGAAGTTACCATTGGCCCTCAGGAAACACACTGACTCGGGGCTTCTGTGTGGGTTGCAGGTGGTGCCAGTGGCTTCGCCTTCTCGAGGCAGCCTCCAGAGGAAGGAGGTTAGAAAAACACAGACACTCTATAAGGTGTTGGACTCCCGCGAAGGCTGCGCCTTGGTGCAGCTACAGCCACTGACAGGTGCGTGACGGGGGCCCCGTGGCACAGAGACAGTCGCAGGAATAACTGGAAAGGGGCGCTGTGATATGGAAAGCAAGCTGAGAACCTGACACAAGTTCCCTCAGTTACAGCTACTCCCCCAAGATTTTTTCCATTTATAAAATGTATAAACTTTTTGATCAAAAAGCTCTCCAGGTAGCCCAGCATACACTTTGGAACCTGAGATAGCAAACCCTTAGCCACCTCTTCTTTTTATAGTTGATCAGGTTTCTAGCTCTCATGACTGTAGAGAAACCTCTCCTGTACATTACTGCGTAGTTGTTTACTTGACGGGCCAGAAGCCAAATGGAACTGGGTTAGGTCCTTTTATAATTAGGCGATGGGGTGTTCATGACCAGTTGATTTCCCTGTCCCTCTCTGCCTTCTCTTTTCCTTCTCTTATTTTAAGGCTCTTTCTCTTCCTTTCCTCTTACCATCTTAGCCTTGCCCCCCCCCCAGAAATGATTGCCTGCCCTTTCCCCCCTTTTTGCACATTTAAAGTGTTTCGTTTTGCAAATTACCATATTTTTTGCTCTATAAGACTCACTTTTTCCCTCCTAAAAAGTAAGGGGAAATGTGTGTGCATCTTATGGAGCGAATGCAGGCTGCGCAGCTATCCCAGAAGCCAGAACAGCAAGAGGGATTGCTGCTTTCACTGCGCAGCGATCCCTCTTGCTGTTCTGGCTTCTGAGATTCAGAATATTTTTTTTCTTGTTTTCCTCCTCCAAAAACTAGGTGTGTCTTGTGGTCTGGTGCGTCTTATAGAGCGAAAAATACGGTAATACGGAGCAAACCTCTGCAGTCTAGGTTTCTGTCCTTTTGCCTCCTTTCCTTATTTGGGACTGCAGAAATCTGGGTTCCTTGGGTACAAAATCAGACTGTCATAGTTCTTGTTTTTGGACGCTGTCCATTTGTCTTACTCGGGTTTTAAAAAGAGCTTGGATTGCAAGGGTCACAGTGTGAAGCATTGTTGGGAAAGTCTACACTGAGGCCCCCTCTTCATCTCTCCTTTGTCCTTTTGGCAGCCTTCACTAACCAACTCCTGGTCAGCCTGATACTGCTGCTGAGCCCTGCGCTAGGGGACCACGTGTATTCCTCCCGTGTGGGGTCTGTCCTGGGGGAGCCCTTCCTCTTGCCAGCTGAGAGTACCCTGCCTCGCACACAGGTACCAAACTGCTCTGATGCTGCCTCCTATCTTGGTGTCGGGGATCTACAGAGCGATGTAGCAGGATAGAAGGAAGGAACCTGACTGAGCAGTGCCTTGGCACAGTCAAATCTATGTCTCCACAACCCAAGGCTATACCACTTGGGAGATAGCAGCAGCAATCAAGTTTTACATCCATTGGGGAACCTTTTGCCCTGCAGATGTACAGCTCCCAACATCCCTGACCATTGACTGTGCTGACTGGGGCTGATGGGAGTCCAACAACATGTGGCTCCTCATCTCTGCTTTATGGCCATACAAGTAGCTGACATTCCTGGCTACAGCCTTCCAACGTCTCTTTGTGCTCCAGGAGCCGTTCCTTGTAAAATGGGGCCCAATGGAAACGAATCTGTTTCTCTCCAATCCTAGTCAAACACTCTAACTGCTCCATTGCACCGGCTCCCTCCTAACTTCTGATGGCAGGGACATGCCTGGAGTAGGGCCTGCTTTTCGTTTATTATGATGGTATGCATTATTATAATTATTTTTATTAACCACCCTGTGATCCTTGAAGAGCGGTATAAAAATCTGTTAAATAAAACAAAACAAACTCTTTGCTTCCACGCTTTCCCCCCAGACCTCGCCACTCCCCAAGCTGCTACTAACTTAACGGGGGCAGACGGGTACCACACAGGTTTAATTCCTTATTTGTTTGTTTGTTTGTTTGATTGATTGATTGATTGATTGATATCTGCCTTTCATAAGATCTCAGGGTGGTTCATAGAATAAAATGATCTTCAAAGCAACTGAACGGGGGTGGTGTACAGGTATTTAAAATCAAAATCAAAGGGAGAACCAGACTAAGATCTTCCACACCACATCTGATTTGGAGCTCAGTTGATCTTCCTACTGTGCTTGGAAGCTCTAGGTTCTGCTCAGCGAAGAAGCTGCCTCTCGCCTTGGGACAAGTCACTGTTCTGTAATGAACCGTCCAAGCTTGGCAAGGATAAAAATGACACTTGGCGCCCACTCTTGGGTTAGAGCAGGCTTCCTCAACCTCGGCCCTCCAGATGTTTTGAGACTACAATTCCTATCGTCCCTGACCACTGGTCCTGCTAGCTAGGGGATGATGGGAGTTGTAGGCCAAAAACATCTGGAGGGCCGAGGTTGAGGAAGCCTGGGCTAGAGTGACAAAAAGCTCCCCCTCCCCAAAGTAAAATAAGACTGCTATGCACTTTCCTGTAGAAAGTTGTAATGATGACGCCTTCCCCTCCCACCCTCTTGACAGGTCCTAGAAGATGCTCTGCTGAAGAAGCTGCACCTGCAGCAGCAACTGGCGCACCGATTGCCTCTCCACCTGCACCTGCACCAGCTCCTCCTCCCGGCCGCCGGCTCCCCTTCCTCCCGCACTGTGCTCACGGCTCCTCCACCACCTTTTTTCCTGAAGACCCTTTGTCTTCTGGGCCTCTCCCTGCCGCAGGACAAAAACAAGCAGTGACAAGGCATCCGAAGCGTTTGCCTCAGCTCAGCAGGTACCGCCTGCCCCGGTCAAGTTGAAGTGATGGCTTTTGACAGCCAGAAGCAGGTCTCTGCCAGGTTCTTGCTGCGGGAAGAAGCGTCTCGTCTCCTACTGGCCGGATGCTCCCAGAGCTGCTGCTGAAGGATGTGAAAGGGAGAGGCTTCCTTTATACCTCCTGCGGTCTTAACAGGGCAGCAAAAGCAATTTTTGGAACTTTTGGTGCCGTGCAGCAATGAAGGTAGCAGCGAGGGAAACCTGGGTTCTAGAGTTTATGTTTGCCCTGATAAATGCAGCCTCCACAGGCTGTGAACCAGCAGGCCAATGGCGTACACATGGTTGCGCCATGGCAACGCGAGTTAGTGGCTGGCTTGAGGTCCAGGCTGGAAAAAGCTTAGGCACACCCAACTCCTACTGAAATCGGCGGGAGTGCTGCACTCCCATTAACTCTGATGGGATGCATGCGCTCCTCATGCTGTGTGGTTTATGCTCCTTGCAGCACTAAGCAGTTGCTTGCCAATGGTTGCCTCTGGCACTCAAGGTAATGGCACTCTTCTGGGGGGTAAAGCAGTGTAGGATTCTCTCCTTTAATCCGTATATCTATGAAACACAAATGACTAATGAAAAAAATGTGCTTTGGCTTTTCACTATTGCTTTTCTACACACACACCAACACACACACACACACACACACACACACACACACACACACACATATATATATATATATATATTTGCTTTCGTAGATTTTCACGGGTACAGGAATGCAGGTTTTGGTGTCCTCGGGTGTCTTCCCGTGTAAAAGTTGGGGTGTCTAGGCGACGTTTCGACGAGGTCTCACTCGTCATCTTCAGGCTGGTGCTTTCGGCTTCTTGTTACTGGAACAGAGCGGGATCTCAGTGTTTGAGTTCCTATAAATATAAATCTGGAAATTAGCCCTCCCCACAAAAAACCGACACCAGATCCAGAGGCACACAGAACGCCATCACCAATCAACCACACCAGACCCAAACCCAGACCCTCTCCACAGATAAATTACAGACACCATCCAGTAGCCAAACCATGGTGGCACCTCCGGATGCTGCACCCCCCTGCAATCCCTACACAGATCTGGCTGGCACAGGCCACAAAACCACAGCTCGCCCCTATACACGAAGCCAAGCCAGAGCACAACTAAGTGCAGTACAGCCATCTTCTCAGAAAAACTCTTCACAAAGTTCAAGAGGTCAAGACACGAAGGCTTTAGCAACTAATCCACACCTAATGACCCACCTAAGTGGTACTCAGGATATCACTCAAGAAATCACTCAAGATATCCCTCAAGTAATTAAGGAACAAAAGAAGAAAAGGCACACTAGCCTGGGAACTTCCTCTCTGCCCAGAACATTGGAGGCTATACACCACACCTCCTCAACAGTATTTATAGGAACTCAAACACTGAGATCCCGCTCTGTTCCAGTAACAAGAAGCCGAAAGCACCAGCCTGAAGATGACGAGTGAGACCTCGTCGAAACGTCGCCTAGACACCCCAACTTTTACACGGGAAGACACCCGAGGACACCAAAACCTGCATATATATATATATATATATATATATATATATATAGTGGTACCTCGGTTTAAGAACAGCCCTGTTTATGAACTATTCGGTTTACGTACTCCACAAAACTGGAAGTAGTGTCTTGGTTTGCGAACTTTACCTCGGTCTAACAACGGAAGCCGAACGGTGGAAGGGCACCGGCAGTGGGAGGCCTCATTAGGGAAAGCGTGCCTCGGTTTAAGAACCAATTTGGTTTAAGAACGGACTTCCAGAACGGATTAAGTTCGTAAACCGAGGTACCACTGTATATATATAAAATCAGAACCTTTAAGCATAAAGAGCTGTTGCTGAATGGGTTTCAGATAAGGATCCTGTTGTTTCTTCTGTGTCGTCTATTGAACTGAGAGTAATTTTTAAAACTGTCCAGGCCACCCTTCCATATGAATATTCTCAGGGTAACTTTTACGTGATAAAATAAATAACTAAATGGCAATAAGATGAAAACGCAGCTTCTGAAGTGGCAGCAATATATAAAAATCTGTTTTAACGAAAGCCTGGGGAAAAGACAAAGGCCTTCCCCGAGTGATGAGCAGACTGAAGAGCAGGTGTCATGGGAGCCTCCCTGGACAGAGGGTCCCATAAGCCACTGCTGAAGAAGCCCCACCCACCCCCAGTCACCAGCTGGCACCATCCATGATGCCAGGATGTGGGGGCATGAATGTGCAAGGTTTTGTAGGACTCTTAAGTGGGAAATAGTTGGAATGCTGGTTTAAAATGTTGTCTACTGCTGGCAGCCGGCTCCTCCTCCCGTCTTATCTGAAGTGGCTTTGTGTGATCTGAAAGCTTGTCCTCTTCTCTGCTGATCCGAATTGATCCGATGAAGGTGTACCTTCCTTGTTTTCATGCCTAGTAATTTAGTAGTAAGATTGATTTGATAACCGCTGGACTGGTGCCGTTTAACTTACAGCAGGAGGCGCAGAGTTGGAACAAGTGCTCTTAGTAGTGGCAGATGGCTATCTTTACAATGGCTTTCTGTCAACAGGGTAACCGGAGAGCCTTGTTGAGTTACGGCAGTGCGAGAAGGCTTTTAAAGTGAGATAACTGGCATAAGATTGCAGGCATCAAGTTCATCCTGTTTTCGGGCTGTATTATGGTGCAGAGGTGCAAGTTGAGTTCAGACTAGAGGAATGTTTATGGGGTGGGGGGAATCTAGTTTTGTGTTATATACACATAGGTCCAGGCCACTTGAGAGAGTTTGCAGACCTGGGCACAAGCATATTACTTGGCCTCTTTTTCCTTTTCTTCTAAAGAGGGTGGCTGCAGAGGGGTCTGGCGCAGTCTTTTGCAAGGGCCGTGGGCCAGAGATTCCTGCTTTCTAGCAGCAGCAAGTGAAACTTACGAGAGGCAGAATCAGGGCTCTTGTTTGCAAACATAAAGGTAAAGGGACCCCTGACCATTAGGTCCAGTTGTGACCGACTCTGGGGTTGCGGCGCTCATCTCACTTTATTGGCCGAGGGAGTCGGCGTTTTTCCGCAGACAGCTTCTGGGTCATGTGGCCAGCATGACTAAGCCGCTAATCTGGTGAAACCAGAGCAGCACACGGAAATGCCGTTTACATTCCCGCTGGAGCAGTACCTATTTATCTACTTGCACTTTGTGCTTTCGAACTGCTAGGTTGGCAGGAGCTGGGACTGAACAATGGGAGCTCACCCCGTTGCAGGGATTCGAACTGCCGATCTTCTCATCGGCAAGTCCTAGGCTCTGTTGTTTAACCCACAGCGCCACCTGCGTCCCGTTGGCAAACATACACACACACTAATAATAGGAAACAAGCATTGTTTACTTCCTTCAGAATGAGGATTGCTGTTTAAAAACCTACAGCTTATTCTTCTTTAAAAGATGGAAAGGCCAGCTTTTGTCCCAAACAAAATCAAGAACTACATAATTTCCTCCCTCCCTCTCCTCCTGTCTCTCCCCTCGTTCCACCCATCCCCACCAATCGTATTAAAAGAATGCAGCTTATGGTTTGTTGTGCAGCATGTAAGTGTCAGAGTGCTACCTGCAGTTAGGCTGCTTTGGAAAGAACGAAGAAGAGCGACTGGAAAAATGTGTGCACAGCCTTGCTTGCATTTTGGCTCTTGCTGCCATCTGGAGCCAGGCTGCAGCAGAGCATCACCAAAGTGTGTGTGAGAAGTGGAAAGAGACTTCTTAGTTTTGTGCATTATTGTGTCTCATGCTGGAGGGCTGCAGCAAGCTGTGATTTCCCCCCCTGTTGTCCACTTTGTAGCTATAAAACAAATGCTACTGCTGGAATAAGTTTACAGGTCTTTGGTCAGCTAGAGAGGCCAGAATGGAAGAATCCTAATGCATGGAGTGGAAAGCAGGAGGGGCCATTTAGATACGTTAAGGCATCAAAGAACATTTTCAAATGTGACACAAGGGTTTCCCTGCAAAATAAAAATAAATAAATTAAAGGGTCGGGAGAGGAAATTCAAGGTACTGCAAAGTGATGTTAAAGGTTTTGGTATTTGGCCTGGGTGGTACCTCAGGTTAAGTACTTAATTCGTTCCGGAGGTCCGTACTTAACCTGAAACTGTTCTTAACCTGAAGCACCACTTTAGCTAATGGGGCCTCCTGCTGCTGCTGCGCCGCCGGAGCACGATTTCTGTTCTTATCCTGAAGCAAAGTTCTTAACCTGAAGCACTATTTCTGGCTTAGTGGAGTGTGTAACCTGAAGCGTATGTAACCCGAGGTACCACTGTACTTGTACATTTAACCAACGAGGAGTTTATCAGCCCTTGGTAGAAAATTATGGCTCGAAAAGCCTCCGGTTGGACTTTGATCATCCTTTTTATCTCATTTGGGTTATGACATCACCCTTAAATCCTCTTTGAAGAGCCTAATAATAATAATACAAATTAGCAAAGTGTTTCTTTTTGAAGAAGGGAATAGTGCCAGCAGTAGGGAAAGACTGGAGTCTAGGAAGCTCCTTTATATAGAGTCAGAAAGATCATTGGTCCATCTAGTTGAGTATTGTGTCCAGAGGCTGGCAGAGCCTTTGCAGGGTTTCAGATAGAAGTGTTCCTGGGCTCAGTGTAGAGTTGTCAGAGGCTGAACTTGGTCTCTACTGCATGCAGAACACATTCTCTTCTCTTACACTACGGCCCTGAGCGCCACTGGTGCCACAAATGAGCCTTACTCCCATTCCACTAAAATCTCATACTAGCACAAGCAAAGCCTGCCAAGACTGTTTGGTGGTTTCTTTGTAACGTGGTCAAGTTTCAGATTTTACCATTCCGTACAAATGACAGACTTCTCAACGTCCTCCATTTTAAAGGAAACAAATCAATCCCCAACCCCTTTGATCAGAACGTGAAAAACTGAATTCTACAAAGATCAGACTGCAAAGGTAGAAGTTTATTTTTCTTTCACAAACTGCAATCCACAAAACCACTCCCCCAACGATGTAAAGAATATTTTTTTAAAAACAGACTCGCCAAGGAAAGCTGCACAAATGTCAAACACAACCGCACAAAACTTGTATTCTTGGTTCTCTTCAGTGGTTTAGGAACAATGAGCAACAAAAGAGATGCATCAAAGCTTCAACTTCCTGCCTTTAATCATTGCGTTTGGAGAGTGGATGGAATTGCCACTTGCTTTTTTACTATCATTGCCCCTTAATGGCAGGAGTAGCGGTGGGGTAGAAAAGGAATCTGTGGCCCCCCAGAATTTGGTAGACTCCAGCTCCCATCACCCTCAACCACTGGCTACTATGGCTGGGGCTTATGGGAGCTGAAGTCATAACAACATTTGGAGGACCACAGATTTCCCCATCCTTGCTTTAATGGCCATCTGACATATTGAAATATAACAGGTGGAGCTTTTCCTGCCCCTCTGTATATGAGAAAAAAGTTTGCCTGCTACATGACTCTGTCTCAGGCTGCTGGCAAGTATGGGAACAGGGCTGTGTTTTTGTTTGTGTAAGTAAAAACCTTAAGCTTGAGTAAGAACAAGGTAAAAACAAATTATAGCATGCTTTTGTATTGTAACAAAAAGATACGGCACAACTATATAACCAAAGCCTAGATAAATATATGGAATAAGAAAAGTAATTTTAAAAAAAAATTCTTCCAGAAGGTGGTAAGATTCAGGTGGACTTCCAGAGGAGAGCCACCCAGAATCCTGAAATAAAGATGCCTTTATTTCGAAGTCAAACTAAATCTGTTCATCTAGCCCAATACTGACCATGGTGACTGTCAATGACTCTTCAAGGTCTTAAGAAAAATCTGACCCCAACCTTTCTACTTGAAATCCCATAACCAGCAATGCTACGGATTGAACATGTGGCATTCTGCATGCCAATTATATCTTTTGCCCCTAAGCTGTGGTCTCCTTCCCTTTCTCTTCCATCTCCTTTTAATACAAGAACAATGCTAGCCAGCAGCTGCTCCAAACCTGCTTACGGAGACCGTCATGGCATGAGCAGAGGCGGTCTGTTGTGTAGAGCTTCATACAGGAGGATGGAACCTCAGCATGGAGGAGAGGCCATAAGGAGCCAAGCCACGTCCTAGAACAGGGAATCTGTGGCTCTCCCGATGTTGGAGTCCAGCTCCCATCAAGCCTAGCTGGCATGGCCACCGTGATGTGAACTGATGGACTGCAGCCGCTGGAATCAGTCACCCCTTTCCTAGAACAAGGAACTAATGTCTTCATTTCTAGTGCCACCTCAAGCTGAAACAATGGGAGAGACCTGCTATGGGATCTATAAAACCATACTGTGTGGTTATTAAAACATTTCCTTTTGCACATATACACAGAATCCACGAGCCATCTAACATACCTATCCCCCCCCCCCAAGGCAGGCATTTAACAAAGCCTGCATTGCTACTACGTGGTAAATTAATGAGCTTTCAGGTGCTTTGCATTGGCCATGGGAGTGATAGGCTGAAGCACCGTTCTTGTCTTTTCCTCCCCTTTGTATGTCGGTTCCCAGAATTGTGTTGCACATTATTTAACAGAACCCAGCATGGGCAGCCGGCTTTGAATTCTCCCACAGAGTTCTATAAGACGAATGTAATTGGGCTGCAACCTGGAACACAGTTAATTGGGTAAAAACAGACATTGGGAATTCCAGGAATAGAAGGGGGCTTAACTCCCCGTTTTCCGGAACAGAAGAGTCACAGTGGCACCAACAGTTTTATCCCCTCTGAAGAAACGAATATGAATCCTCCAGCTGCCAGGCACCATTTTGTTGTTCCTTAAGCCTGGTGGCAGGATAAGGAGATTGTGGAGGTGGCAGCAATGTTATGTGGGGAGGAAGAAGGGAACAAAAGCAGGAGCTATGGTAAGTTCAGGTGGGGTGCACAGGAAGAACAAAGGCTGGACCCAGTCCCAAATCTACACCTCAAATTTCGCTAGCAGTACGCTTACCATGATTTTTATATATCAAGATAACAGTCCTGAATTTTGCCTCCTTGTTAATGCTCCAGTGCGACTCAAAAATATCACACGGGGAACTGAATTTCAGGAAGTGAAGCAAAGACTGGCCAGAGAGTGGAGGGGAAAGAAGGCAGGGCATTGGTAGAGAATCATATTGCCCTCTCTGCACCCCCAAGCCCAGTATGAAATGCCTCCTAATCCAATAAAATAGCTATTTCCTTTTTCTACAGCCAGGATATTTTTTTAAAAAAGATTCAGGCTAGTATTGGCAGCCCAGAAGAGCCTCTCTTCTCTTGGGTGGGGTTATTCTTGAACCCTGAAAGCAGCCCATCTAGGAGAAGGAAAACACCGATCCTAAATCTCCACTGCCTGGTGGGATATCTTTAGGGGAAGAAAAGGCTAAGGAGTAAACCCTACATAAATCCAGAGTGGAGTCCCTAAGTGGGTTGGGTGGTGGGTTGGTACAACACCTTCTGATAACTCTTGCAGCCAAGCTGGTGCCAATGTACGGCTCTGCTTTCCTTTGGAACACATCAGCGTGGCCGAGGGTGGAGTCCTGTTCGTCTGGCAGCCCAGAACCTCCATATTCACTGCCCAGGCTTGTACCCCAGGGAGGCCACTTTGGTGTGGCTAATGCAGCAGTTTGGTTGCTCTAAAAATGTAGGGTGGCGGTTTTGTTTATCTACACAAGAACCAACCAGGCGGCGCTGTACCGATCCAACGCCTAGTGCAAACGTAAGGAACAGAGGCTTCCACAGTAGACCCGACACACAAATTATGACTATCTCTCTTGTTTCTGCCTTCTGTCAGGGAAGAATTTCCGAAACCAGGTATGTTAAACAGAGCATTTTTTAGCCAAAGGTTGGGTTTGCCTCCTCCCCCCCCCCGCCCCACCTGTCTGACTAGCAAGAATTCAAGAGGTGAAAGTTTCACTGGATTAATGTGATGAGACAAATTGATGGAGGGTCTCACTAGCTCTGTGTCTCTGAGTACCAGTTGCCACTGACTGCAAGTTGGAGATGGGCTGTCGCCTTCATGTCTTGTTTGGGTTGGTGGCAACTGGTTTGCCACAGTGAGAACAGAATGCTGGACTAGACAGGCCTTTGGTATGATCCAGCAGAGCTCTTTTTTGTTTTTTAATTTCACTGGTGGGGGGACGGGAGTACCATCTGCATTTGATTGTCTGGCAGCTGTAAAAATCACAGGAGCGCCACCGAGGTGGGATGGGGTGCGGGAAGAGTGACAATCTTACCTGAAACCTACTGTAAGACTAATAATTTTATAATGGGGCCTATGGGATCCTGTGCCCTAGATCAGTAATTTCACACAAAATGTACATATTTAAATGCTAAAAACATAACCCAGCACCCAGCATCCATTCCTAGAAGCCTTTTTCAAAGAAATTTCCAGGGCTTTTTTTCAGCATGAACTCGCTGGAACCTGGTTCTGGCACCTCTCACTATTGCCTTTCTAAGAGAACAATGGAGGCATTCATGGTAAGTTCCGGCACCTCTTTTTTCTAGAAAAATAGCACTGGAAATTCCTGTACAGTGGAACTTTGGAAGCTGAACGCCTTTGAACTCGAACGTTTCGGCTCCCGAACAATCGAGAACCCAGAAGTGATTGTTCCGGTTTTTGAACGATTTTCAGAAGCCGAACATCTGGCGCGGCTTCTGATTGTCTGCAGGACGCTCCTGCAGCCAATCAGAAGCCACGCTTTGGAAGTTGAATGGACTTCCGGAACGGATTCCATTCAACTTCCAAGGTACGACTGTACTGGTAGTAAAGCTAAGATTTCTCTTGTTTGTCCACCACCTATTTTTATACTGAATCTCATTGTCAGAGACAATTGTGCATTTACAGGCTGGTTACTTAGAAGCTGGCCAGGTTATCATCCATGTTTAATGCCCTGGTTAGCAATTAGTATTTACTGGGAAGTAATGTCCATTTTTGGACATGATAGATGGTATCAAGCTGTGCCCAGCCTCATGAACCTTCAATTCCTCTACACATATACTCTTGCCTCCAAATTGGCAGCCGTGGGCACTGCTTAGTGGTCAGATTCGGGGAGCCCTGTTGTGTTCTGGATCCCTGGGTTAAGAACTGACAAAGGCAGAGGGCAGCAAGCATGGTTCTTTGTTTTAGCATGTGAGATAGAGCCCTCTTATGACCTAACGGGTCTCTTTCGCTCTCAGCAGTTTTGATCTTCTTTCTCCATCGCTCTGCAACTCTTGCCTTCTGCTGGGTCTCCCAGGGTGCTCCATTTTTCACATCAATGGTTGGAAGATTTACAAAAGTTATCAATTGTGTGATGGGGAAGAGCCTAGGAGCAACCTAATTCTGCAGCCTGGCGGTTGTTTCGGGGAAGCAGAAGAGAGACCCGGTCGTCTTTAGAATCTATAGACAATTGATTCGGGCACCACACGACCCACTAGAGGTCTTCTCAAAGTTCCAAGCCAGAGTGGATTTCTACGTGCAACTCTCCCGGAGTTCCTTCTCAAATTTTTACCAAGCCCGACGGCATCGAGTCGGCTGCCGTGGCGGAGTTATTGCATGTGGTTTCATAGTCTCCTTTCCCCCCCACTGGAGGCAAGACAGACATCTGATTTTCAAAAGCTGGTACCAGGGGTGGCAGGTGTTGCACATCCTAGACATATGGGTGAGGGAAGGATCAGTGGTTACTGGTCTGGGAGGGGAGAAGCATGTCCAAAGAGGGGGTGTGGGGTGTTTGTGGTGACCTCTCGGCTCCTGCTCAAAGCTGCAAGATGTGTTCTACAGAGGGAAGCAGCTTTCGACAGCCTCCGAGGGTGGAGATGCGGAAGGAGGCGGGCAGAGAGGGGCAATGCTGGTCAGTGGGGCTTCTCGGGGCAGGAGTGTGGTCCCGTGAGCACTCAGGGACTCGGTGTATACCTGAGCCTGGCATGAGATGACCACCTTGCGGTAGAAGAATTTGGGAGTTCTAGGAAGCCGCCGCCGAGGCCCAGCTCTGGAGCCGCACAGCACTTGCCAACTTGCCATGGCCTTTCCGTTGCAGAAGAGGCGGGGGAGCTTGTGAATTGCAGCCAGGCCTGGGGAGGAACCAATAATAGAGCACGTTGCCTTGATGCTGAGAGACCCCGGAAAGCTCTAAAACGTTCTAAAAAGAGCGCCCCTTCCGCGCAGACGGCCGGCCGCTTTTTAGCCATTGGCAGAAAGCAAAAAAACCAACAACCCAAAACAGAATTGTGCAACGGCCTCCAAAATGAGAGGAAAGCCCTGGCCCTGCTCCTTTTGCAACAGCAGGGGAAAGGAAGGGAAGAAACGAGCCCATGCAAAACTCATGGCACTTTAACCCCAACAGCCACTCGCAGGCCCCAAAGCCAAGGCTCAAGAAGCAGCGGTCAATGCAGGGAGGCATGGACATGCCACAACATACCATATACACCACTGAAGAGGCCCACCACAGTGGACAGGCACCTGACTGAGAACCTGTGGGCTGAAAGACACACTCATCTCAACCTGTGAGCTCTCAGCCCTCCTCAGGGATGAAATGCCTCGACTCTAGGCCACTATGAGCTTAAATGCACAACACACAGTGAAAGGAAGCAATACTTTTGGCAAGAGCTTTGGAGGAAGCTGGTGTCTGATAAAAACGAGACAGTCCAACTGTCTCCATGGTGTTTTATGGGCTGAGCAAAGCTACATATATATTTTTTTGCATGTTTGCAAACCTTAACATTCCCTGTGTTCCAAGTCTGCTCACACCTCTCTGTTGTGCACATGAAGAATAGTGGGTGTGTACTTTGTACACACCAGTGCTGTATATTGTTATCAGTTCTGGCCTGTCATGCAACTGTTAAAGACACAGGCAGTCCCCTTGGAATGGAAATTCAGTGACAAGGCAAGTTTCACCTGTTGGATTCAGTCCATCACACAAGTGTTAAAGGCAAAGGGTATTTTTAAAGAAGACTGGCAAGCCTACAATGGCCTCGGAGGCACAAACCCTATTTGGCCGATTATTTTAAGAGTCTACAAGGGCCCAATGGCAAGCTCTACCCTTTCCAGTACATTCCGGTTCTGTGAGTTATACTCAATTATACTCAGAGTGGATCCACTGAAATTAATGGACCTACATTAATGATGGCCGTTAATTTCAATGGGAGGAATTCAACATCACGCTAAAACAAACCTTTTGGCAGTGCAAACATTTCTGTTTGCTTGACAGAATGACTCCCCCCCCCCATGTTCTGTTCTGGGGTGGTCCCAACCACATACACCCCAAGCTGATTTTTTTGGGGGGGGGGTTGTGGGGGGGGAAGAGTCCCAATGTGCCAGCAGGAGTCCTTGCACTGGCTATCAATAGCAGAGCTACTTAGTTGGATCCAGCCCAACTTTTAAGTAAAAGTTTAATACAACCCCCAGTATTTATATGGCGAACTGCCTGCTTCTGAAAAATGTCCTTTAACTCATGGAGGGCTATTAATAAGATGACTGTGACTTCCGGCAGGGAGAGGGGCTTGCATGTATCGTTCATGATTGTAACACAAAAAAACAATGAATGCCTCAAGAGGGATAAGCAGGAGTCCATTGTGAGGATAAGGAATTTCATGAGAGTGAAAAGGGCCAGCTTTAAAAACTTCATTTTTCCTTTTCCTTTTTTTTTCTTTTGCATTAAAGAGCATCCCTAACCATGAATGATATTTAGGATCATGTTTAGGATAAGCTAAGCACAAGAGGAGCCTGCCGGATCGGGGCCCATCTAAGTTCAGCATTCTGTTCCCATACCACCTCAGCTTGGTCACCTGAATTTTGCTAGTCAGTGGCTTATTCATGCATTCTGCTTCAGTCCTTGAAGAAATGTTTGGTATATACTGTTGTACCTTCCTACTTAATTCAACCAAATGGGTGGTTCCTCGACCACAGAAGTTTGACGGAAGGGCAAGAAGTGTGCTGATGCATTAAGAATGGAGAAGAAGAACCACAGGGAGGAGGGGAGGTTAAGTACCACTCCTCCTCCTCCGTTGTTTCACAATGCCACCCAAATGGCAGGGACAAAAACAACAGCACAGTGGCAGACAAATCAGTAGCAATGTAGGGAGGATGGCTAGCCAGGCAGAGACTCGGGAGGATGGTGGTAAATGTCGTGTACTGCAGAGCTTGGCTGTGGGTCGCAAGGCAGGGTTGTTCAACTGGCTGTTTGAGCAACCTGCTTGCATGCCCATAGGCTAGCCTTTTGGACCTCCTTGCCTAAATCCCACATGCTTCTGATCTCTCAATTCGCATAATTTCCTCTGTCTGAGATTCATCCCGCTCTGTTCCAGTGGGCTTGGAACCAAGCAATCCCTACATCAGGAGTCACCAGCTTTTGGGTTCGGGGGGCACATTGGGAATGTACCGAGAAAGAAACAAAATGGCTGACGACAGGGGGGTAAGGGGAAGACCTATGTGCAAAATGGCTGCCATTGTGGGTATGGCCCGTCCCAAAACATCCATTTCAAAGTAGGCAAACAATCCTAAATACAGTCGTACCTTGGATCCCGAACGCCTTGGTACTCAGACATTTTGGCTCCCAAATGCCACAAACCCAGAAGTGAGTGTTCCGGTTTGCGAACGTTCTTTGGAACCTGAACATCCGACGGGGCTTCTGATTGGCTGCAGGAGCTTCCTAAAACCAATCAGAAGCCACGCTTTGGTTTCTGAATGTTTTGGAAGTCGAACGGACTCCCAGAACGGATTCTGTTCGACTTCCGAGGTACCACTGTACACTCATGGGAAACTGTTTCTATCCTGGTTCTGAGAACCTTCTCTGCCTCCCAGGTGTCCTAGGAATCAAAGTTCTTCCCTTCGTATCATGGTTTCTCTCCACCTCCCTTGGTCCCTGTGTTGCTCTTGGCTCCTAGCACTTCCCAACCCGCCTTGCCCCCAGCAAACGGAGCCTTAGTTTTGCCCTCCACACAAATGCCAAAGGCGGTTCATCCGACCTCCTCCTCTGGCCCACTCCCTGCCATCACACACTGTGGCCAACGTTCCTTCAAAGTCCTTTATTGGGATGGAGAGTCTAGCTCTTAAGAAAACATGATTCCCTCTCCATACAACCCCACGTTGAGAAGTGCTGCCCAGACCCTATAAATATATATAAATATGTATCTATTTATATATATGTGTGTAGCATGATTCCTGCCTGCGGCGACAAGCCCCGAACGAGGGCTGCTCCTGGGTCAATGGGGGCTCCTGCCCTCCCTCTGCTGCCGCCTTCGGATCATAGATGCTCTGATGGCAGTGAGTTCGGTGGCTGAAGCTAAATCCATGCCCGGGGGGGACGGGGGATTTGGGGGCACAGGTATGCTGTGCATCAAGTTCCGCAGGTGCTGCTGCACCCTGAGCCTCACGGGGTAGGCGGCAGAGAAGGGAGCGCGAGAGGCCGCCAGGTCAGGAGAGAGGGGGAGAGAACCCATTTCCTGCGACCGCATCTTCAGCCACAACTCCCTACCTGGCATTGGGGCTGCCTTGCTGGGCACCGGAGCTACCGTGCTGGCGCCTTTGGGATCCTTGGCCTGGTGGAGGGCGGGCTCCTGGGGGGCTAGGCTCTGGGAGCTGGACGTGGCACAGAGCTGAGCCGGGCCGGACAACTTGCCCCCCGGGCCGACCGTGGTGGTAGCCATGCTATGGGCGACCAGCACTTTCCGGTTGCGGGGGTCTGCGTTGAGCTTGCTGGGCAGCTTGAACCTTGCGGACGTCGAATCAGGGACCTTGCTGCCGGGCGCCTTCTCCCGGGCTTTGTTCTCCTTCCCAGGAGCCGCAGGCTCGGTCGCCTTGCCGTTGGCGGACGCCCAGCACGGGGTGGGGGCTCGTGGGGTATCCTGGTTACTGCGCCGGTAGATCAGCTTGGGCTTGGGCGGCTGCGGCCCGCTGCTGTTCTTGGCATCGCTAGGCACGGGGCTTCTCTGGAGCGGAGGCCTCTTGACGGTGGAGCCTTCTACCAAAAGGCTAGTGCCAACGTACTGAGGGATTTCCACAGCTGCCTGTGGGGAGATGAGGGAAACAGGGTGAGGCTGCCAAGCACCCCTCCAGCTCAGAGGGGCAGGGTAGCAGGGATCCTCCTGGGCCCTGGCTTGCAAAGCTGCCACAAGGCTGAGAGAGATATCCTGAGACGGAGCTTCGGGGATAGGGTTTCATCACTGGACACTGAGGTCTAGCTCCGAGGGCCTTCTGGCGATTCCCTCACTGCGAGGAGAGAGGTTATAGGGAACCAGGCAGAGGGCCTTATCGGTGGTGGCGCCCACCCTGTGGAATGCCCTCCCATCAGATGTCAAGGAAATACAACAACTATCTGAACAACTATTAGAAGACATCTGAAGGCAGCCCTGTTTAGGGAAGTTTTTAATGTTTGATGTGTTGTTGTGTTTTTAATATTCTGTTGGGAGCCGCCCAGAGTGGCTGGGAAATCTCAGCCAGATGGGCAGGGTATAAACATAGCTGTCAACTTTTCCCTTTCTGTAAGGGAAATTCCCTTATTCCGAATAGGATACCTTGCAAGAAAAGGGGAAAGTTGACAGCTATGGGTATAAATAATAAATTGTTGTTGTTGTCGTCAAGCAGAAATGGTCCCCGGGATGCATCTGTGTCTGGTGCTGAGGAGGCCCAAAGAAGCTGTTCCCAAACTGTGCCCACATACATGCTACAGTGTGTCTCGAGAGAACCACTAGGGTGCTTGCAAAAACCCGAATTGTTAAAAAGGGTCCTATGATGCTCCTTCCCATAAGCCCCTACCAAGAATAGGTAATTCTGGAGCATCTCTGCACCAGAGTGAAGGAATGATCCAACTCCACCTGATGCAGAGCTACACCAGAATGACCCAGAGGAGGCCATCCACTGCAGTTCCGCAGGAGGTACATTCAGGCCAGTGTCTGCTTCCAATCTGGAAGGCTCAGTAGGAAGAGTATGAGATTTCTGCACTGCACGGGGTTGGACTAGCAACTAGAGGTTGCCAAGCTTGCTCACTCCACTCACCCAGCCTATCCACCAACCCCTTTGCCAGCTGCCCTTCTTCCACACCTGACCAAACCCCTCTCTCTTTACACTGCTCCTCCCCTCACAGTGCATCCCAACCCCAAACGCCTTTCAACAGAGGGCAAGGGATGCTTCATAACGGCTTGCTAAACCGCTCTGTGAAGTGCCTCTCCCTCCTTCCTGGGCTGCCTGCCACCAGCAGTGCTTCTTTGCTCTCCTGCCTGTGTTCGTCACACTGGAGTTGGCATGGCCACCTACTGGTGGCCACGTGAACTGCAAAGCACGACAACAGCCTTAGGTTTCTATATATATAGGAAGAAAGGGGAAGTCTGTGTGTGGTGCCGCCTCCCAACCAATCAAGGCACACTCTGTAGAGAAGAAACTCAGGCCTGCTTTGAGGTCCTGTCCCATTCCATGAGGCACTGAAGACAGCTCTGAATGAGCTTCCTTAGCTTTCTGTTGGCCATTCCTGCCAGCTGGCTCCTCAGGCACCTAACCCTCAGTGCAGAAAGGATGAGCCATCTGCATTGAAGGCTACCAGATGGTGGCAGAGCAAGAACCCAAAGGAAAGGGAGGCAGAGCCAGTGCAAGGCAAATAAGGTAGACTGGGGAGATGCTTTATCCAAGCAGCTAATCCCAGTCCCTGAGGCTAAGGCAGCTGGGCCCTGTGCACTAACCTGTTTGTAGATGAGCTCAAAGTCTCCCGTGTTGCAGTTGCGATCGTACTTGCGATCGATGACCACACGCAAGGTGTCCTCCTGCACGCTGGCGCAAAGGCGGGTAGTGATGGCAGTGGAGGCAGCCATGGTGGGGCTGGCATTGATCTCAATCAGCCACGGCTGGTAATCTTCTCCAAAGAGGAAGTCTGCGCCGTAGAGCTCAAAGCTGTTTTTGCGGAATTCCACCAAGTCCTGCGAGGTCTGCATGGCGTGAATGATGGCGGCCTTCATGCCGGGCACAATCACCGTGGACCACGCCTCGGGGGCTCCCATCTGTCGCAGGTGGGCCTGGAACTGCTCGGACGACCACATGTTGTCGCGGGGGAGCTCAGAGTGGCGGTTCAACGAGTTCTCGTAGTGCTTCTGGATGGAGTTGTTGCACAGGTGGATGGAGCTGGGTTGGAGAGGAGGGTAAGATCAGTCACAAGGGGCGGGGGTTAGGTGTGAAATATACTCAGAGTCGCAAAGTGATTTCATGCTCTTTATTCAGCTCATAGTGGTGAGGAGGAATGAATGAAAGTCCCCTCAAAGTATCTGCTTTATATACATTATTTACACAATGGGCTGCACATGATTGGCTAATTCCGGAATTCTACTGTAAGCCAATCAGGTTGTGGATTCACTTCTATCTGGAGCATGATTGGGTAGTTCCTGCCAACCTGCTGCATTGTTCTAGGACCAATCAGACTGCTGCTTTCTGAATCCTATTGTTCTAGGACCAATCAGACTGCTGCCTTTTGGATCCTATTGTTCTAGGACCAATCAGACTGCTGCATTTTGGATCCTATTCAACTCAGTACATAACAGGTGCATCAGGCAACAATACAGGATTGGGACCCGGGACCCGGGAGGTGTGCTAAGCCACAATAGGAACACAGAAAATCAGCCCATCTATCTCAGCGTCATCTATAGGGGCAAGAGTGCAGCGGCACTCAAGGATTTTGGAAAGGAGCCTTTCCCAGCCTTACCAGGAGATTCTGGGGACTGAACATGGCACCTTCTTCATGCAAAACAGAGGCTCGCCCACTGAGCTGCTCCCCATTCTCAACTCCTTCCCATCTATGGTGATCAGGGATACTGTTATGTACTGAGTTGAATAGGATCCAAAATGCAGCAGTCTGATTGGTCCTAGAACAATAGGATCCAAAATGCAGCAGTCTGATTGGTCCTAGAACAATGCAGCAGTATGACTGGTCTGCAGGAGCCACCCAATCCAGCTCCAGATGGAAGTGAATCCACAACCTGATTGGCCTACAGGAGAATTCCGGAATTAGCCAATCATGTGCAGCCCACTGTGTAAATAATGTCTATAAAGCAGATACTTTAGGGGAACTTTCATTCCTCCTCACCACTATGAGCTGAATAAAGGGCATAAAATCCACTCTCGACTCCGAGTATATTTCAGATACTTCTTCCCTGTATGTGCTGCTGTCAAAGAAGCCTCATTCTGCATTCTAAAGAAGCCCTGTTCACAAGAGCTCTGCCCCCGACGGCTGACTTACCAGCGTGGTAACCACAGTACTTCTTGGGCATTTCTCCCCTGCTAGGCTCCAGCAAAGCGCAAGGCATGACTGCTCTGCATTGCTCTGCATTCTCCCTTCCCAAAAAAACCTCCTCTCCCTCTACTTTAGCCCCACAGCGCCCTCGTGGCTCTCTGAACAAGCCCTATCTTCATCCTTCTCCAAAGTACTCTCTCCTTATTACTGCAACCACACCCAGGCTCCCAACTCTTTTTTCATGCTCATACTAGATATTCACTCCTCCGCCACCAGTTCTTTTTTCCTTTTTCCCACCCTCCATTTCTTCTCCACCCTCAGCTGCCCTTTCTTGGGGCTCTCCAAGATATTCAGCGGCCAGCTACCATCACATGCCTTTTCCCGGTTACATTATGCTGGTCAAGTTGCTTTGGCAATGTTTGCAGAGCCCGCTGGTCTGCATGAGAGCATTGATTTATTTAATTTCACGCAACAGATTTCTCACCTGCTCGTCAGGGCACATTGCCCTCACAAGGTGCCTTATCAAGAGAGAATTAAAACACAACACACACAAAAACATATATGGAGCTTCGCAAGGTTTCAGGCAGGTCTGCAATCTGCTTAAATGGTCAGAGCTGTAGTTCACAAACTATTTACCCGGGGAGAATAACTGGGATGATCCTGCAGAATTTAGAAGAGCGCAGAAAGCTGCCTTATACTGTCAGGCCAATGGTCCACCTAGCTCAGTATTGTCAGCACAGACTGGCAGCAGCTCTCCAGGGATTCAGGCTGGAGAGATTCTGAATCCCACCTGGAGATGCCAATGCATAAGTCTGAGACCATTCTGCATGCAAGGCAGATGCTCTTCTGTGGATCTGCGGTCCTCACGGGACATCGACGAGACTATTTAAGACTGTGAGTGGCATGCACAGAACAAAGTCTTCACAAAGCAGCAGCATCTCTCTCTCTCTCTCTCTCTCTCTCTCACACACACACACACACACCAACCACACACATAAAGCTGTATCCAGCCGTGGAGAAGATAAGCAATGCAACACTCACGTGTCCAGTTTGTGCAGGGAAAAGGGCTGCGTGGAGAAGCGGATGTAGCTATGCTGGTAGAACCAGATGGTCAGTGGGTTCCAGTCGGTCACCAGGAACCACTGGCGCAGATCAAACTTGGTGCCAAAGATGAGCAGGGGCGTCTCAATGTATTTCTGCACCACCCACTTGCCGTCCTTTACGATCATGGGGTCGCAGTCCACTAGCTTCACTATCTCCTCCAAGCGGTCCATGCACATGATGCCTGTTGGGAAAGAAACAAAAGCCCTCACGGTCGTGACAGACCCACGTCCGTTCCATCCCCACATCCTTGCCATCAGAGCAGTTCAGAGCAAAGCAAAAAGCTCAGGCACCCTTTCTGCAGAAGCCAGGCTGGGTAGACAACACCCTTTCCACAGCCGAAGCAGCGGAGACGGCAAGAGACACAAAGTGCATGTTTTGTGTTACTGGTGTCCAACCTCCACTCAACAAAGAGAACTTCTAGAGTGGCTGTGAAACTCACAAAGGTGGCAGTCATATCACGCCAGGATCAGGAGCCCAGCATAACCAGATGGTCAACAGGTTGTCGTGGCAGGACTAACATAATGCCTTTTTATCTTGTACTTCGGCAACAACAACAAAAAAAGAGTTCCAGAAAGGGCCTAGGGTTGCCATATTTAAAAAAGTGAAAATCTGGACACGAAAGTTTAATGAAGAAAAAGAAGAGGAGGAGGAGTTTGGATTTGATATCCCGCTTTATCACTACCCGAAGGAGTCTCAAAGCAGCTAACATTCTCCTCTCCTTTCCCTTCTTCCCCCACAACAAACACTCTGTGAGGGGAGTGAGGCTGAGAGACTTCAGGGAAGTGTGACTGGCCCAAGGTCACCCAGCAGCTGCATGTGGAGGAGCGGGGAAGCGAACCCGGTTCACCAGATTATGAGTCTACCACTCTTAACCACTGCACCACACTGGTGAAAACCACCAAAATCTACACTACCGACACGGGCTGCCATTTCCACTCAAGGGCTGAATACGGGCTATGTCCAGGAAGTTTTGGATGTATGGCAACCCTAAGAAAGGCTAACAAATGTCAGTGATAGGAAAGGATCTGCCTTTGGGCTTACGATCTGAAAGTCACAACACAAAAAAGGAAAAGTGTTTTGGAGTGAAAAGGGGGGGAAACAAACCCTTTGGCTCTCACCCTATAAGGCTGGTTCATAGTTGTGGGTTAACTCTGAGCAATCTCTAGGGCAGGCTGCATTCACTGCAGTAAGCAAGTCCCTTCTCAGTCGGCCTTCACTGTCTCATTTGATTGTGTGAACTCAATAGAGAGGCCGAAAAAACCCTCACATTTCAACTGCTGGGTGTCAAGAAAGCACACCCTCTCCTCTCTAAGCCTGCTGGGTGAGGGCTGAACCAGTTGCGCACAGTGCCTTAGCAACCAAGATTTTTTAATAACAGCAAACTCAAGAAGGGCACAACAGGGATGTGGTCAGGGTGCCGCTGCTCAGGAAGAAGCCCAGCGTGAACAAGCCCTTTGCCAAGTCCATTTTTCCCCAGTCTCCCCCTTATATGCTCTTTTGGATTATCGACTCCCCTCCATATGCAGCGCCGCTTCTCTCACCTCTGCCCCGGGACTTGGCTCCTGGCTTCACAATCCATATGTTCCTGTCCCCTTCCATGTCCAGCTGCGGGACGACCTTTGACAGTCGCTGAAGGACATCTTCACACCGCTCGACGTGGGCACCCGTCTGCACCATCTGTGCCCCCTCGCTGCAAACACAAACACTCAGAGCAAGGACCCCACCCATTCTCCTGCCAGCACAATCTGCTTGGTTTAGACAGGAAGCTATTCTAGAAACAAGCTGTATATATCGGACTCAATCACAGCTTTATCTAGAAATTGGCACGGTTATGACTGAGTGGTAAATCTCAGAATATGGCCTCCTAATGGACCATTTCACCATTAACAGTTTTACAGCCCTTGCAGTCGCAGAGTGAACTCGTGGCTCTCTAGATATTATTAGACTAATGGTGCTGTGGGTTAAACTACACAGCCTAGGGCTTGCCAATCAGAGGGTCGGCGGTTCGAATCCCCGTGACGGGGTGAGCTCCCGTTGCTCAGTCCCTTCTCCTGCCAACCTAGCAGTTCGAAAGCACGTCAAAGTGCAAGTAGATAAATAGGTACCACTCCGGCGGGAAGGTAAACAGCGTTTCCGTGCACTGCTCTGATTCCCCAGCAGCAGCTTAGTCATGCTGGCTACATGACTCGGAAGCTGTACGCCGGCTCCCTCGGCCAATAAAGCGAGATGAGCACCGCAACCCCAGAGTCGGCCACGACTAGACCTAATGGTCAGGGGTCCCTTTACCTTTACCTTTTAACGCCTATCAGCCACAGCCAGCATGGCCAACACATCAAGGGATTGTGGGCAGTATCTGACAACATAGTTCCATTTGCGTAAGGACTTCTGGCTGCATCACAAACTCCCTCCCCTTCCCCTATGCATCCCCTAAATCTGTTCTAGGGGTTCTCCCAACCCTCTGGAGGATATTTGGAGAGGGTGTGGGAACATGCAGGGAGAGAAAGTCCTTGTGCTGATGGAACTACTTCAATGGGATACCACCCTATAGGCGTTTAGCCCAACAACATAGAGTAGGCTGTAGGTTCCCCATCCCTGGGCTTGGGGTACGTGAGCATTTTCAACCACAACGTCTCAGGTGCTATAGAGCACCTGGGAGAACCTTCCAGGTGGCTCAGATTTCAGTAAAGGTAAAGGGAGCCCATTAGGTCCAGTCATGACCGACTCTGGGGTTGCGGCGCTCATCTCGCTTTATTGGCCGAGGGAGCTGGCGTACAGCTTCCAGGTCATGTGGCCAGCATGACTAAGCCGCTTCTGGCGAACCAGAGCAGCGCATGGAAACGCTGTTTACCTTCCCATCGGAGTGGTACCTATTTATCTACTTGCACTTTGACGTGCTTTCGAACTGCTAGGTTGGCAGGAGCAGGGACCAGGCAACGGGAACTCACCCCGTCACGGGGATTCGAACCGCCGACCTTCTGATCAGCAAGTCCTAGGCTCTGTGGTTTAACCCACAGTGCCACCTGCGTCCCTTGTCAGATTTCAGTACCCAACTGCAATCCCTTCCTCTCTCCGTTGTTTCCCATGCCTAGGGCTTTCATACTCAGGTCCGACAGTCATTTCCCTTCAGTCTTTCAGACATAGCCCCCAAATTTATCGTCCCCAGTTTGTGATGATTAAAAACAAAGCAAAAACAAAAAGAGAGAGAGATTAAGAACATGAGCTTGTAAAGATGAGCAAAACTGCCTAATTCACGTAACACAATTCACATAACCTACATAACAAATTTCTGCATGGACACATGGTGTTTCCTGCTTGGCAGGGGGTTGGACTCGATGGCCCTTGTGGTCTCTTCCAACTCTATGAATCTATGATTCTCAGTCTGCTGATTCCTGCAAAATTTCGTTTGAAAATAGAGCAACATTTCCAGCTCTCACAATTGTGAAGGAAATGAAAGGTGTTCAAGGAGTTTCTGCTCAATGCGCCTAGAAAAAAATCCAGGTTTAATCTGGCAGGACCTTCCAGTAGTCAGGGAGTAAGAATTTCTTTACACAATACAAACCCCAGTCCTTCCCTCAAGTTCCCCATTAAGTCCCTGTATCTTCCTCTACATACCCAGTTGCTGTAATCCTGATAGGTGCAGTTTATTCCCCTGTTTGTGTTAGAAGATTGTCCCTTCAGAGCTTATGTAGGCTGCCCTCGTGCCATCGTGATCACATGAACCCCATTCCCAAGGATGCTCAGAGGAGGGGAGGAAGGGCAGGAAGAGAGCAAGGAGGAAGGAGAAAGGCAGTGGCTGCAGAGAAGATAACGACACAAAGTTTGTGGTTCAGTCCTGCCCGGTGTGTCCTCTTTTGTCAGGGGCAAGCTACAAAACCAAGTGCCCTAAATGCAAAATCTGTATGTGCGTCGAAAACCTTCTTTCCTAAAATGATTCTACAAAAAAATAAAGTGGGGCGACAAATATTGCTAAACTGAAATGAGCACATACACACAGAAGATGTTGTACCCAGGTACTGTCCATGCATAAACAGAATGGACTTCCATTTGTGCAACATTATTTCAGCTGCCACTGCCTACCTCCAGCCTTCAGAATACCCTCAAAGAAAGTTTTTTTGGGGGGCTTTGAGAGTGGGGTGGAGAGACAAGCAGAAGATGCAGTCTCCTTGCCCAAGTTAAAGTCAACTTGGTGGAGTCCACTCTATGCAAATGGACACAAATTTGCACAAAGAGCCAGTTCTGGAATTGGGGCTTCCCGGGTTCAAGAACAGATGGTTTTGCTGTGTGGTATATTCCAGGATCTCCTATACTTACTGGGCTAGCTGGTAGTAGCCATGTAGAAACTTTTCCCATTGTGACTTTTTCATTAGCAAAGGAGAACCGGATTCTCTGTCAATGTCCTGGTGCCTCAAACTGCTCATGTGTTCCTCGCAGGCATGTATCGCAGTCTCAATCAGCTGGGATGAGAGCAGGACCCCTTTCTTCCGGCTGGTGTACTGCTTGACTTTTGAAAACGAAGGGTTGTTGAGCCAGTTATGCAAGGCACACAAAGCAAGACTGCCCGAGATACTGTTTCTGCTGCTCCCTGTAAATCACAGACCTTCCAACATTTCTCCCATGAAAATAGGGACATTCCATTCAATTATAATAATAATTTTACTATTTACACCCAACCCGTCTGACTGGGTTGCCCAAGCCACTCTGGGTGGCTTCCAACATTTATATACATATACATACATACACACACGCAGCTTCCCTATATAGGGCTGCTGTCAGATAGCTCAGGAGTCACATAACTCCATATCTTCCAACATTTCTCTAAAGAAAACAGGGACGTCCTAAAGAAAAGCGGGACATTTCAGGATCAAATCAGAAACCAGGATGGTTTCCATAAATCCAGGACTGTCCCTGAAAAATAAGGACACGTGGAGTGTCTGAAATCAAAGCATCAAAGCAACACACACACACACACACACACAAACAAACAAACAGTCACAAACAGAGACCTAGGTCTTTTTTACAAACAGATTCCCAGTTGTCAGCGTCTGGCTGGACACTGAGGAGTGGTGGTTGGAAACTGACTTGGAAAAAGTGATCTGTGATCTGAGGGAGCCTAAAAGCTACACCCACCCACCCAGCTCACTTCAGATAAAGAAACTCCATAGCACTTCTTTCTTAGGACATTTTCACATGGAAGACTTGAAGCAAGCTCATGCTTCAATTAGTTTCTGATCTAATCTCCACTGGAAAGAAAGTTCATTTGTGTGTCAAACACCTCTACTCCATTCTCTCTTCTTACACAGAGGAGACCAGCCCAACCACAGACAAGAGAAGGATCACTCAGCTGTGAAAAATATCTTAAGAGAAAAAGCCAGGGGGCTACACTTTTGGAAGTAGTCCATAGCCACTTCTCAATAGTCTCCCCTAGAACACAACTGATGGCATTAGCAAAAATATCAAGAGAAAGGCAATTTATCACATGTTGTGCTCTCCCATCCAGGACCTTCTCCAGGTACTCCACGCTGGAGACGGCGGTAGAGAAATCTCTGTGGCTGTTCCTTTTTTGAACACACAGCTCCTACCACTTACCTGGAGTCTCTGGGAAATTTGGGGGCTCATTCTGATTAGCATCCAGTCTTGTCACGTTGGGTTCATTCCAGTATCGTTTCACCACCACTTTGAGAAGGCTCCTGGCTGCAGTGAGCTGGAAATCCTCTACCATAAAAGGGAGGAAGGACACATAATTCTCTGGTGAGAATCCAGAGCGGGGAGGAAAGGAACCCCTAAACTATCCTCGCTCCTCAACTGACATTTGAGGGCACCCATTCCATCCAGCTACCTCAGTGGAGGAGATGGGAAGCAGGGCTTGTTTCATTAGCTTTGCTGGAGGCCCAGTTCCATCAGGTGTCTCCTGCCCCTGATTTGTGCCAGCTGGTCATCATATTTAGAAACTGATGCCTGAATTTTTATTTCCCTCTTCCTTCCCTGTCTTTTGCACTTGCGTATTGTGTTGTGTGTGTGGTTTTTTTTTAAAGATATAAGCCAGCAGGTAGGGACTGTTCTGTTTTGATTGAAGCAGCTTAGGTAAAGGTAAAGGGACCCCTGACCATTAGGTCCAGTCGTGGCCGACTCTGGGGTTGCGGCACTCATCTCGCTTTATTGGCCGAGGGAGCCGGCGTACAGCTTCCAGGTCATGTGGCCAGCATGACTAAGCCGCTTCTGGCGAACCAGAGCAGCGCACGGAAACACCGTTTACCTTCCCGCAAGTGGTACCTATTTATCTACTTGCACTTTGACGTGCTTTCAAACTGTGTTGTTTTTTTAAAAAATATATAAGCCTGCAGGTAGGGACTGTTCTGTTTTGATTGAAGCAGCTTACATACAATCAAAACAGACTTCCTACTGCACTAAGACATATCATCAAAGTAGAAAGTATATCCCAAAACATGGTGGGCCTTTACTCTGGGATAAGGCATCTCTCATCCCATTGTCCCCATTGTGCTAGAGTCATGGAGTTTCCTTCTCTTCCCCACCCCACCGAAGGAGAGCATTGTGAACAGTTCTCACCAATAAAGGCATGCTTTTCATCTTCAGCTCCAAGGCGGTAACAACGTGGGAAAAAGGTATCGGCATCAGCCTGGTCAAACCATGGCAGGTTTCGCAGGTTCAGACACAGCCCTACCTGAGAAAGAAGGATGGATGCCTTTGCAGCGGCTTAATTTCCCAAGTCCCCACAGCACACATACACAAGCCAGTTGGGCCCAGATCCTGCACATTCCTTTTCCCAACTCGGAGCGCCATTCGCACTCTGCTAGCGTGGCCCAGACATTCAAGAAGCAAAAACTCTGCCCACCTTGGTGGTGAAGGTGCCCGCCTTGGCATAGTGGTTCATCATCTGATCTTTGCGCAGGAGGCGGCAGTCAATGACATCACGCCGGTTGGTCCAGATGAAATAGGGGATCTGATTGCGAACCAACCTTGACTGCCAGGGAAAAAAGGAAGGGTGAAAAGTAAATGTGGAAGCCTAGTGACACAGAACAGAAGATGGTTAAAACAACAACAAAAAGGACAAGGTAGGTGGGTGAAAAACTGGGTGCAGGTGACAGATCTGCTGTTGGGAAAGGTGAAATATGAACAGGCAGCTAAATTATTGACTGGAACAAGGTGGCATGATGGTGGCCCAACAGCACTGGCTTCCAATTTTTGTCCAGACCCAATTCAAAGTGCTGGTTTTGACCGTTATATGGCCTTATATGGCTCAGGACCATTATAGCTAAAAACTGACACCCTGAGATCATCATCTGAAGCCCTTCTCTGCATGCCACGTCGAAGGGAAGTCTGGAGGGTGCCAATGGCCAGACAGGTCTTTTCTGTAGTAAAAGGTAAAGGGACCCTTGACCATTAGGTCCAGTCGTGACTGACTCTGGGGTTGCGGCGTTCATCTCGTTTTATTGGCCGAGGGAGCCGGCATACAGCTTCCAGGTCATGTGGCAAGCATGACTAAGCCGCTTCTGGCGAACCAGAGCAGCGCACGGAAACGCCGTTTACCTTCCCGCCGGAGTGGTACCTATTTATCTACTTGCACTTTGACGTGCTTTCGAACTGTTAGGTTGGCAGGAACAGGGACCGAGCAACGGGAGCTCACCCCGTCGTGGGGATTCGAACTGCCGACCTTCTGATCGGTAAGCCCTAGGCTCTGTGGTTTAACCCACAGCGCCACCCACGTCCTTTTCTGTAGTAGCTCCCATTTATGGAATGTTCTCTTTAGGGCGGCCCACCTGGTATTAACCTTGTCATCTTTTTTGGCACCAGGTGAAGACATTTCCCCCCAAAGCATTTGGGCACCCCTAACAATATAGTGTTGCACTGTTCAATGTTTTTAAAACAATGTTCATATTACTGTTTTTGTTTGTTTGTTTTCATTTGACTGTAAATCACTTAAGGACCTTTTTCTATTTGAGAAGTGATGTATAAATGGAAAAAACCCAAATCCTGAATAAATCTAGGTGATGCTGAAGAACACAAGGAGGGGGTCTATGATGATCAAACAGACAGCATGTGTATTGCAGCGGTTAGAAAGTCTGATTAGGATTGAGGAGACCCAGATTCACATCTCTACAAAGCCATATAGCTCACTGGGTCACCTTGGTCCAGTCACTAGCTACTAGCCTATGGCTGGGTACAAAACCAGAGTATAAAAAGTGCATGTGGGTAACACATATCCGATTGTTCCATGTGTGTTTTTGTCCATGAACAACAACACATGAGTGTTTTAAATTGAACTGTATACAGTGGAACCTCAGATTTTGAACGTAATCCCTTCTGGAAGACTGTTCGATTTCTGAAATGTTCGAAAGCCGAGGATCAATGGGTGGTCGGCAAAATCCATTGAATAAATGGAGAAACACACCTCAGAAGCCATTCAAATTCCGAGGCGCATTTGAAAATGGAAGCAATTACTTCCGGGTTTTTGGTGTCTGGGTTCCGAATCGTTCGGTTTCTGAGATGCTCGAAAACTGAGGTACCACTGTATAAGGCCAACCAAAATGTCACAGAATAGTGTGCATGCTATTAACGATAAAACCTGGAAATCTTGCACGCTGCCTTGTCACATTTGGTTGGCCTCTATTGCCTTAGTATGGATCTACTGATATTGGGAAAATCTGAATTAGATGGAGGTGAGGGGACTGTGGGCTGCAACCTGGATGAGGACAAGGTGGTGCGGAAGGCATGAAAAGCATGCATCAAATCCACTTTAAACTGCCCTGTGTGTTTGTGCAGCCCTCAACGGGCTTTTGCAGGAACCAGAATTGTGGAGGGAAAAGTTTAGCTGCTTGAAGGAAGCATTTAGGGGTAAGTTCACCATCACATCAAACTAACCATAAGGCTATAGGTACTATCAATGGCATCATCCTGTTCCTCTTCCCCCTCTTCCTCCTCATCTGTGAAGGAAACGGAAAACAGCGGAGACAAGGGTCACTCACAGTCATTACCAGGGAGCAGTCTCCTTCTTGGACACACTGAAACTGTATTTAAAGTGCTTATTACTGTGGGTAAGTCCATAAAAAGATGGGTGCTCATCCATATATTTAATTATTTTGTTATTTTTGTAAACCACTTTGAAATTGATAACCACCTTCAAATCACTGATAGAAAGGCAGCATGGGTTTTAATTTTATAGATCTATATACACACATAAATGTTAAATGCAGAATGGCAGAGACACACCTAATGATACTTATTCACACTTAATTTTATAAATTTAAGTTGTAGAATGCACACTCTGAAGAGGCTAAATTAGGAAAATAGTGCAGAGTGCTATTTTATTAGCAAATGTATACAAATCTTGGGTTGCCAGTGGTTTCCTTCCAAAACCTGGAGCAATATTTACATCAGTTACATCTTTTTCTTGTTACAAAAATGCCAAGTGAAATCTAAGAGCGTTTTTTCCAGCCAACCTAATATAGTCCATTTTACTGCAAGTTTTACATTATTTTCTTCAGTCTTCACAAACGTAGCTATTTTGCTGTGTTTTCCCTTGCTGTGTTGCCAACACAAACCTCATCCTTAGGAAAACATAGTAATACGATCCTGTGTTTCCTTGTAGCACTTTTACACAGTTCACTGCAAGCTCTTTTAGGTCCAAACAATGGCCATTTGAGAAGGTTATGTAACCCATGAGAAACAGTGTAAAGTCAGAGGTGGCATTTTAAGAGAGGTGGAGGTAGTTTTAAAGTACTATTAGTGCCCTCAACACACATACACACACATTTCCAATCCTAGGACAAAATATAGCTTGGCTTTTCAGTGTTTCACACTGAACAAATGAAAGCCAGTTGTGATGGGCACTGATTGGCTAGTGCCCATGCCATGTCAGACTTAGGTCTCTCTATTAGTAGCTTTGCACCTGTTTTTATAGCGTGCATGAATTTATTGGGAGCAGGAACAGATGAACATATCTGGTGCGTGTACATCTGAGATTCTTCCAAAAATTCAAAACAAACTTTTGAATGTTTTTAAATACCATTGCAGAGGGTTAGGCTAGATGCTCCGTGAGGTCCCTTCCAACGCCACAGTGATACGATTCTATGAAATATCTCTTTTTATGTGGTTCTAATTGAGAATCCCAATGTTTCATTTTACATTTTTGTAAATCGCCTAGAGGGTTTCCTCTTTTGTAAATATACAGTCAGGCAGCATATAAATTTTGTTCGATACAATTAAAAGAGAAGTTGCGAGAGGCTGGTGGCCTTACCGTCCTCAGGCGCGTCACTGTCATCACCATCTTCATCCTGCTCCCCATCAGGCGGACGTTCTCGCTTATTCACTACTTTAGCCACCTTGGGAAACTTCCTCTCCACCCAGCCCCTGCCAAGCAGCCGTCTCCGAATCACGGGGTAAGGGCCGTTCACCATGAAGATCTTCCTTTGCTATGGGGCAACAGGAGAGGCTTATCAACTTTGCCCTGCAGCGGGGAGGGGAGGCAGGGACTCTCCCCTCAGTGGTGATGATGATAACATTCGCCCCATTGGGCAAGGTTGACCCATCCAACCAAGGCTACAAAAGAGGGGGAAACAGGCAGGGTGAAGGCTAAAAAGGTAGAGACCAGGTAAGCCAAGGCCACTTACCTTGATGGCTCTCTCCACAAACTGCCTGGCTTGCTTGAGGCGCTCTGGGTTGAAGGAAGAGTTGAAGTTGATGCTGCGAGGTGAGCGTCCCTCTATCAGAGAGGCTGCATCTCCTGGAATGAAAAAGCTAGGCTTTCCAACCTTTGTGACCTCTTAGCACCTACCTCACACCAAACAGTGGTACCTTGGTTATCAAAAGGCTTGGCTCCTGAACAAATTGGCTCCCAAACACCGCAAACCTGGAACTGAGTGTTCCAGTTTGTGAATGTTTTTGGGAGGCCGCACGTCCGATACGGCTTCCACAGCTTCTGCTTCAGTGCAGGAAGCTCCTGCAGCCAATCAGAAACCGCGCCTTTTCGAATGGTTCCGGGAGTTGAACGGACCCCTGGAACAGATTAAGTTCGACTTCAGTTTACGAACTTAAACTGTACCAGAAGTCCATTCTTAAACTGAAACTGTTCTTAAACCAAGGCACGCTTTCCCTAATGAGGCCTCCCGCCACCGGTGCCCTTCCACTGTTCGGATTCCATTCTTAGACGGAGGTAAATTTCACAAACTGGGACACTACTTCCAGTTTTGCGGAGTTCATAAACTGAATCATTCGTAAACAGGACTGTTCTTAAACCGAGGTACCACTGTATTGTGTCCTATATCTATTGCCCAGTGTGCCACCACCTTTGTACCAGCTGGCAACCAGGAAGTCCAATTAGGCAAGGATTTACAGCCAGCACTCACTATCAACGGTAAAGAATCTGTAGGAGCCTGATGGGAACATGGCTTGGATCACAACTCATATCCACCAGGAGTTATGAATTTGGTGTTGTGGGCCTGATTTTGTAGAATTCCCTCCCAGATGAAATCAGACAGGCCTTCTCCCTGTTGAAGGTCAGGCATGTAACAAAGACCTTTCTACTTCAGCATCCACTTTAAGGAAGTTTTGTTTCCATGTTTAATTTTAATTCAACTTGCCCATTGTATACTTTTCAAAATAAATTATGTGCACTGCTTAGAAACTGCAAAAATAAGAAGGGAAAATAACGCAAAGAGGATCAATAAACAAAATAAAATAATAAAGCAAATCTAGAGGGGATAGCAAATCACATGAACATCAACCCACGGCACAGAACCCCTGGCAGCACCTTGGCAACTCACCTTCTGTTCTATACCTGCTGGTATTGGGAGCGGTGGATGGGTGGCGGCGAGTGGGGTGCAGCTGTGTACGTTCGATGTTGGAGGGGGCATCTCCGTCAGGCTTCAATCTGCCAACTGAGCACAGTTGGATGAGGAACATTTAATAATAATAATAATAATAATAATAATAATAATAATAATAATTTATTTATATCCCGCCCTCCCCAGCCGGAGCCGGTCTCAGAGCGGCTAACAACAGTAAAAATAACACAGTTTACATAAAATCACAATCAATTAATTGAAATACATTCTAAAATCAATTCATTCTAAAATCAATTCAGGGTCAAATTAATGGCAACCATTGGGCTAGAGTTATATGAGGATTACAGAAGGAGAGGATCAGACTGTGCCTTGGCCAAAGGCCTGGTGGAAGAGCTCTGTCTTGCAGGCCCTGCAGAAAGATATCAAGTCCCGCAGGGCCCTAGTCTCTTGTGACAGAGCGTTCCACCAGATCGGAGCCACAGCCGAAAAAGCCCTGGCACTGTTGAGGCCAGCCTAACCTCCCTGTGGCCAGCGGCCTCCAAGATATTTTTGTGTGAAGACCATAAGGTCCTCCGTGGGGCATACCAGGAGAGGCGGTCCCGTAGGTACGACGGTGCTAGGCCATGAAGGGCTTTAAAGGTTAAAACCAGCACCTTAAATCTGACCCTGTACTCCACCGGGAGCCAGTGCAGCTGGTTTTTTTAAAAGAACAAGGGTTCAAATGGCACATTAGGGGACACATTAGGGGACACATTAGGGGACTACATGGCTAGTCTAAGACATACTGTGATACAGAAAAGCACACCTGAAGAAGCAGGACTCGTTTCTGCTGTGACTTAAGAACGGGAGAGGCAGGAGATAATGGATTTCTCATTTAGGGCCGTATCCAACACTGCAGCTTTGTTGGTGCAACAGATTTCTGTACATGATCTAGAGCAGGGGTAGGCAACCTAAGGCCCAGGGGCCGGATGCAGCCCAATCACCTTCTCAATCCGGCCCGCGGACAGTCTGGGGATCAGTGTGTTTTCACATGAGTCGAATGTGTCCTTTTATTTAAAATGAATCTCTGGGTTATTTGTGGGGCCTGCCTGGTGTTTTTACATGAGTAGAATGTGTGCTTTTATTTAAAATGCATCTCTGAGTTATTGTGGGGCATAGGAATTTATTCATCCCCCCCCAAAAAAAAATATAGTCCAGCCACCCACAAGGTCTGAGGGACGGAGGACCGGCCCACGGCTGAAAAAGGTTGCTGACCCCTGATCTAGAGCCTCCTTTTTTCTTTTGTCCCCTGCCCCTGGTGCATCCTCAAAATTAGTTCCAAAGCATTGGAGGAGCCTCCAGAGCAGATTTTGGGGGATGCAGGAGGAGGAAAGGAAGCAGAAGTCCCCATTGTGTCAGTGGAACCCTGCTGGTGCAACACTGGGTACAATATTTGTCAGTATGTACTAAGCATGGGCAACCTCGCTTGCTCTTTAAGGCTAACCTAAAACATTTTGCTGCCTGAAACAAAGGGCAATATTAAGATAATGTCCCAGCCCCAGTCCTGACTGGATTGATTTCAGGTTTCCAGCAACTGGCATTCAAAAGCATTACTGTGCCTTCCACCATGAAGGTGAACAAATCTAGACAGCATCTTAAAAAGCAGAGACATCACCTTGCCGACAAAGGTCCGTATAGTTAAAGCTATGGTTTTTCCCGTAGTGATGTATGGAAGTGAGAGGTGGACCATAAAGAAGGCTGATCGCCGAAGAATTGATGCTTTTGAGTTATGGTGCTGGAGGAGACTCTTGAGAGTCCCATGGACTGCAAGAAGATCCATTCTTAAGGAAATCAGCCCTGAGTGCTCACTGGAAGGACAGATCCTGAAGCTGAGGCTCCAATACTTTGGCCAGCTCATGAATAGAGAAGACTCCCTGGAAAAGACTCTGATGTTGGGAAAGATGGAGGGCACAAGGAGAAGGGGACGACAGAGGACGAGATGGTTGGACAGTGTTCTCGAAGCTACCAGCATGAGTCTGACCAAACTGCGGGAGGCAGTGGAAGACAGGAGTGCCTGGTGTGCTCTGGTCCAGGGGGTCACGAAGAGTCGGACACGACTAAACGGCTAAACAACAACAACCATGAAGGTAGAGCAAAGTCATCATGGCCAACAGCCATTGGGAGCCTTATCCTCCACGAATTTGCCCAATCCTCTCTTAAATCCATCAGTGGCCATCACTGTTTCCTGTGGGAAGGAGTTCCATAGTTCAATTGTACACTGTGTGAAGAAGGGCACGAGGTTGGGAAAGGCTGCTGCAGGCATCCTTTTGCCCTGAAGGCACCTCTTTGACCTAGGAAGCATGGAGTAGAAATCTTGGAGTAGCTGCTACCTTACCTCCTCTGCTGGTCCTTCTGCCCCCTCCAGCGTCACTGTCCCCTCCTGCTTTACACTTTGGGCCCAACTGCAAGAGATCAAAAGAAACACTGAGGTTGTTAAAAGATCCTAGGACTCCAAAAGGAATGCAGCCCCACAAGACTTCCAGGGGATTGCCCTACTCCAAAGGCAAATGCAGCAAAAATGACCCAATAAAGGTCAAACAGAATGCGGTGGCTAGACTGGTGACTGGGAGTGGCTGCCAAGACCATATAACACTGGTCCTGAAAGACCTACATTGGCTCCCAGTATGTTTCCGAACACAATTCAAAGTGTTGATGCTGACCTTTAAAGCCCTAAGTGGCCTCGGTCCTGTATACCTGAAGAAGCGTCTCCACCCCCATCGTTCAGTCCAGACACTGAGGTCCTCCTCCGAGGGCCTTCTGGTGGTTCCCTCACTGTGAGAAGTGAGGTTACAGGGAAGCAGGCAGAGGGCCTTCTCGGCAGTGGCACCTGCCCTGTGGAATGCCCTCCCATCAGATGTCAAGGAAACAAACAACTATCTGACTTTCAGAAGACATCTGAAGGCAGCCCTGTTTAGGGAAGTTTTTAATGTTTGATGTTTTATCTTGTTTTTAATATTCTGTTGGGAGCTGGCTGGGGAAACTCAGCCAGATGGGCGGGGTATAAATAAATAAATATATTATTCTTATTATTAACACTGACGAATCTGCAACTCCCATGACCACTGTTTCTTCTAGGACAATCAGCTTGTTCTTGGATCTTCAGAAGCTCTGTTCAAAGAGTTGCAGAAAAGCCCCACTCAAAAGCCCCACTCAAAGCACTATCTCACCCTGTGCTTTGAAAAGGGCTTTGCAGGCCAGCAAACGCCCTTTTGACAAAGCCTCAACTTTACATACCTCACAAGTGACTTCGTATATGACATCAGGTGTTATAGAGCAGGTGGGTGTGGCCTGGCCGGCCAAATAGGGAGGGCATAATAGAATGGGCATAATGAGGTTCCCCACTCCTGTTCTAAGTCTTGCTCTTCTTTAATACTGGATTTATTTTTTGGACAGGAGGGGTGTGAGCTTGTAGTGAAGTGAGAGAGCATCGGCTCTGCCTCTCAAGGCAGCTGCAGAGACTACCACAAAGCACTTACCGTATTTTTTGCTCTTTAAGACTCGCTTTTTCCCTCCTAAAAAGTAAGGGGAAATGTGTGTGCGTCTTATGGAGCGAATGCAGGCTGCGCAGCTATCCCAGAAGCCAGAACAGCAAGAGGGGTTGCTGCTTTCACTGCGCAGCGATCCCTCTTGCTGTTCTGGCTTCTGAGATTCGGAATATTTTTTTTTATTGTTTTCCTCCTCCAAAAACTAGGTGCGTCTTGTGGTCTGGTGCGTCTTATAGAGCGAAAAATACGGTAGATTTCTTTGACTGCCACCCTACCCCAAACACCCTTTAGGGGTCACTGTAGTCTTTGCCCATTGTGTGGTGCCTGCAACCAGTTGAGAATTTGGAGTAAACACGCCCACCATTTATGGGTCATGACAGCCTCTTCAAAACTGAACTGAATTTCTGAACATGTATTTCTGGGGGGCTGCTAAACAAGCATTGTACGCTGAGAAGAATATTTGGTGTCCTGGCAAGCTCAGCTTCCATTTCTTGAAACCCAGCCCATATAGCTCTGGGGGGGAAAACCTTGCAAATGTGTGGTTACCAGAGTCTGATGAGGAACTGAGCAGGGCTTACAAACAGAGAGGCAAGCTGTTACTACTTTAGTTAGCTTTTTATAGTACCCTACAAGTTAATCTACCCCTCAGATCCTACCCTCTTTTAATTCCCTCAAGTCAGGGACATGAATTCCAAATCCTTTCAAAATATTGACCGCTGAAACAATATATTTGTGCAAAGCAGTACATTCCCAGAGGATCTGGATCTTGGCTGTCCCAATAAGCAGCTCCGTGGTCAGTCACCTGCATATTCTTGGTGCCAGCTCCACTGCCTGTCCAGCAACTCCCAGTGAACAGGTATGTCAGTCATGGCGCACCGCACAGCCACCTGCAGGGACAAGGTGACAAGTTCATTGTTGCAGCTAAGCTAGAGAACCCTCCTCTCCACATCAATATCCCATATAGGAGCTCATGACAGAATATAATCCGCAGACAGACACCCACATCATACAACCTATGGCACCTGTCCATTTTCTATTATTGGACGTAGCCAGGATTTTTTTTGGGGGGCAGGCCTTTTGTTAGGGGGCAGAACCTCAGTTAGCTATGTATTTTTTATTGTTTTTTTATTGATTGGGGGGCAGCTGCCCCTCCCTGCCATGGCAAAGAGGAAATTTTTAGTAGGGATCTGCACCCAGTACTGCTTATTCTTGTTGGAGTCCGTTGATAAACCTACCTTTTCCCAGAAGCTTTTCAGAAATGCTCACTTGGGTTCGGACAGAGCAGTAACAGCTGAGCTGACCCAAAGGTGCCCCTGCACTGTGTTTCTGCTCTTTTTGCAAACTTAAAATGTGCTTTTAATTTTGGAAATCGTTTTTTAAAAGTGCTTTTTCCTTCACTGCCAGGCACAAAGCAGCTCAGGTCATTAGACAGGGAAGCACTGCTTGATCAAATCAATACACACACACACACATACACATACACACACACACACACACACACACACACACATGCACACACACACACACATTCAAGCCATTGGGCACCCTTCCCCATCCCAAATCTAAGCCAACAGTTCCCATACCCCCAGCTGCTTCTCCTCGCTATCCACCCTCCAACCAAGCACAGCATTCCCAGGTGAACATAACCCTGTCAGAAACAGGCCTTTGAGCTCCGAAAAACCTGGCACCCCAACATAGGTGCCAACTCCCTGAGCACCCACAAATTCCCCATGAAGGTGCTGGGCACCCACAGGGTCATTGCACGCTGCATGGCACCCACGTCCCCGGGGCACCCACGGTCGCGGGGCCAAGTTGGCGCTTTTGCACCGCAAAGGGAGACGACAGCACCTCTGTGCATGTGCAAAGGGCATTCCTCTCACCGAGCGGTAACGAGGCCATCAGGAGCCGCGGCAGACGAACCCCGTTCCTCCTCTGGCATGGGGAGCTCTTCTTCTCTCCCCACCCGCAAAGTTACTACCCCACAGCCTGGTCTCCACGGCCGGCTGCCCCAACCAGCATCCCCCCCCCCAACCAACGGGCAGTTTCCGAGTCCCTTCCCCGCCCCCGAAAAGCCGAGGCTCCCGCTCCCGCCGGCGGCGAGGGCCCAGCTCCTCCGCAAGGCTCCCATGCGGCTGTTTGGCGTTTCTATGGAAACCAGGGAGAGCGGCAGGTGCTCCAGGAGAGGCCTTTTCGTTTTGCTTTGTTAAAACACGGGCCCCTCCCCCACCCCGGGGCCTTTCAGAAAGATATTTTGCAAAAGGTATTTTGAGGAGAATTAATTCTGTCCCAGAGCAACTGAAGCTTGCTAGCTAGATAATGGCCACGATAAGGATAATTAGGAAGGAGATCTCAAAAGCCTCTATTTTAAGCTGCTCTCCAGGAACTTCTTTCTGAATCAAAACAGGGATGTTAACTGATCAGCAGAGGTCGTTTGCCAAACCCCTCCTTGCCTACTACGTATATCCTTCTCTCTCTTTCTTGTGGTTAGATAAGGCACTCTCATCAGTGCACTGCTTAAAGTAGAAATTGCTGACCAGTTCCTGAGCTACAACTCCCATTAGCCTCAGCCAGCAGAGCCAATGGTCATGGAGGATGGGAACTGTAGTCCAACATGGATCTTGGGAGAACCAGTTCGGCTGCCCCTGCCTTAAGGATATTGGGCGGCTCTCCTGTGCCCCTCAAAATCAGATGTGGGGAACTTTTGGCCTCCCAAACATTGCCAAACTACAACTCCCATCAGCCCTAGTAAGCATGGCCAGTGGCCAGGGATGGTGGATGTTGTAGGTTCAGCCACATCTGGTCAAACGTGCCTCACGCCTGTTGGCCATCAGGCAGGAGGATGGATGTAGCAGTCTGTGCTGGCTAGCGCTGATGGGAGTTGTATTTCGGCAGCATCTGGACGGCTCCAATTTCCCTTGCCCTGAATTAAGGGAACTGTGGCAGCAGGGTCTCTTTTAAGGTGACCACTTCTGGCTGATAGAGGGATGTAGGCATCCAAGATCCAAGGCGACGTGGGCAACAGCAGGAACCAGCCAGCCAGGGGACGCAAGAGAGGTTTGTGTAGTCAAACTGCAAATGGGGGAAATTACATCAAGGATAAGACTCCAGAGGGGGAGGAGTAAGGCTTTGGCAGCAGGGTTCAAGGACCAACATGTTGAGCAACGAACAGCACAAATCAGGCTGTTGTAGGTGCAAGTATCCTTAGCTGGCCTGAGGGACACACATCTACACAGGCTCTATCCAAAAGGGACATACTATTCCCAATTTACCTTAGTTGCGGCTCATACTGTCTCCCTGCTACCTCTGATGACTCATGCACATTTGTGGCTGGCCCCCCGTGCTTGGTGTCCACTTGACCCTGTCAAATTCACGTGGGGGCAAAAGCCTACTTCCGGCTGCAGGTATACGAAGCCCAGACTGGGCACAGTGGGAGGGTTTCTGGCTCAGAAGCAAACAACCTCCCTAGGCTTGAGGCCTACCTTGCAAGAGAGGGCCAATGGCATTGTATTATATCACCTGCTGGAGACCTGCAGAGAATGCTCAGGATGGCTCACCTATGACATCAAAGGGCAGTGGAACTACCATCGTATTCCAGGATTCTGTTCCTTCCTCCCATTGGCTTGGCTTCCTAAGGATCGCACACCAACCACTCCTGGCTGAGGATGGTGAGACAGCGGATGGGGGTAATTGCCTCTCTTTCGTTGCCTTTCTCTAAAACAGACTGTACGGAGGTGTGTATGCTATCTGAATTGTTTTTTGTCCCTCCCAGGGGGATCAAATGCAGGAAAGAAAAACCTTCCACCACTCTCTGAAAGACAAGCTAGCTAAACTAGGAATTCTTCAGCAGTGGAGTGCTACTATCAACACAGGAACAGAAGTGCAACACTTGAGTTTGGCAGGTGCATGAGGTAAGGGGCTTCGTGTTCATTGGCTACAATGTTCAGAAGGGACAACAAACCTGCCTCTTTAGGTCTCTTTGACATGAGAAACTGGATTTAGCAAGTCAGGTTTATCTAGGTTTCAAGTCCAGTAGGTAGCAACCAACAGCCCCCACCGCAAATACATTTTGTCCTCAGAACCATCTAGCGTCCTTCATTGCTTCCCCTACATTCATATGGTTCCGCAGTTTGTGCTTGCTGTGCAATAGCCAAGCTGCTGGATCGACTTTTGCCTTGCAACTCTTTGCCACTGTTAGCAGATGCTTTACTTCTCTTGCTGCTCGGCTTCAGGGCCATTTCAACTCCCCCCCCCCCCCGCCGAGTCTTGGTGTAGACAAATGCGTGTGCGTGACTGCATAAAGAGTATGAGGATTTGCTATGCTGCACAAGAACATCAAATCGCACTACAGGAAGCAGCCCACAAATCCATTTATAGGCTACAGTGCTCTTGCCCCCAATGGCAGAAGCTGAGCTTGAGGAACCAGCAATGGTTGTTCTCCTTAAGAAAAAGGGAAATGCTTAAAACAGCCCTTTACAACTTCTAAAAAAGAAAGCGGAGACATTGCGGTGGTGCAGGGGGAAGGACAGGAGAAACTGTGAAATTTATTATTCTTCTCCTTTTGCCAATTAATGAAGCGGCATTAATGTTTTGCTTTGAGGTAGGGAATATTTTGCCAACTTTCACTAGAGGAATAGGCAGCGCTGAGTGTAGGATTTAATGTCATATTTAAGCAAACTGTTGCTTGCTTTTATAAAACCTTCAATACCCACTACACTGCCTCAGTGGCTTAGGAAAGGAACAGCTAACCAACTCCCATCAGCACCATTAGGACCTCTGGGGAAGGGCCATAGCTCAGTGATGGAGCACACACTTTGTGTACAGAAGATCCCAGGTTCAAACCCTGGCATCTCCAGGGAAGGCTGGGAGACTTGTGCCCCCAACCTTGGAGAGCAGGTGCCAGTCAGTGTAGATAGACAGCAGTGTGGTAGATGGAACAATGGTCCGGCTCAGTGTAGGTAGAATGTATGGAGGGCCATATGTTAGCCACCTCTACCATGGGTGCACATCCTACAATATACACACCTAATAACTAAATGCCTCTTGTATCAAAACCTTTCAAAATAGGTACATGTGAGCTTTAGAAAAGGTGGAGCAAATCTACCCAGCAAGAATATTATCTTCACTTCAGGGAGGATTAGCTGTTCTTTACAAAGCAATGAGATACCGTCATAACATAATAGAACATGTTCTTTGTAGGGAGCATGGTAATTCGGTTTGCCTTGGCTTGGGAGAATGCAGCCTACATTCTACTAAGGTGCGGAAAGAGACCTACTCTGAAAACATCCTTTAGGGCAGGCATAGGCAAACTTGGCCCTCCAGATGTGTTGGGACTACAATTCCCATCATCCCTGACCACTGGTCCTGTTAGGTAGGGATCATGGGAGTTGTAGTCCCAAAACATCTGGAGGGCTGAGTTTGCCTATGCCTGCTTTAGGGCAAACACAGAACATTGGTCAATCCTAGTTGCTGGGACACGACAAGAAATTCCATGTGCTTCCCAGGCAGCATAACCAGACTCAGTAGGGGAGGACTTAGCACGCCACAGAGAAACCATGCAACCACCGCTTAACTTCAGGAGGCAAGAAGGGGAAAAAAGGCTTTAATAGGGAAGGTCCCAGAGTAAGAAAGTTACAGCAAGTGCCATAGCAAAAAGAACCAAGAGTTACAGATTCCAGCTCCGTCGCGTTTTGCTGACGCATGGCCTGGCCCCTCCCATCACAGCTCCCTCTGGCACAGATGTGGAAGGAATAGAAAGGGAATGAACAGGAGGCAGTGCTGTGCTCAGAATGCTCCGATTGCTGTGGGAGTAAGGGAAGTGGGCTACAGAGAGGGCGCTCTCTCTAGAGAATGGGAATGACTTGGCACAGGGGAGGACTGCCATCTTCAGCACCTGGCTTGCCTGCAAACTCATGATTCCGTTTGGGAGGCAGACCAAGGTAGTCACACCTTGTACGTTCCAAGACAGGCTGCCAGTTTGTCCAAAGAGATGCTTCAGGCCTCATTTGCTGGGGCCAAACCTTATAGAGAAAGGCAGCTTTTGTGTGTTATCTGTCAGGTGTTTTTTTGGATGCACAGCACTGAGATGAACTCCCGCAACAACTCTTTCTGAGGGCTGCTGGAACAGTCGATCCCTTCCCCCCCACAAGGCCTCGGCCACTAAGAGACTCAAGTAGACAAATAACAGCAAGTATCAGTCATTAAAAAAAAAAGAAAAGGATATCAAGTTGACACAGTCTTAAACAAGCACAGTTTTGTTCCAAAATTATTTAAAAAAGCACCCTCCCCTCCCCTGGGCACGCTGGCGAGCATGGTGTACATTTAGCTGGGACAGCCCCCGCAGGTCTGGCTGCTTCTCATCTTGCTCCCAAACTGTGGCCCTCTCTGAAGCCGCAGCAAGGTGGCTGTGCAGAGAGAATGAGAAAGCCAAGCTGTGGATTCCAGCCCTTAGTCTAGAACTGTGGGGGGAAAGAGAGAAAGAGAAGTCAATTAATTCAAAGTTGCTTTACTCAAATTGATTAATACAGCTTCTCAGAGGCACACACTATTAACACTCGCATACACGGGCTAGAAAAGGGCCTTTTCAGTGTTGGTGCCCTTACTGTGGAATACCTATCCCAAAAAGGCTCGCCTTGTGCCTAAATTATGGTGTTTTCAGGGCTAAGTGAAGTCTTTATGTCCCCGGGCCCTTTAGTGCATTTTAGCTGGTTTCCATGTCATATTGTACAGATATTTTAGAATTTTGACAACATTCTAATTTTAAGTTTGTGAACTACTGAGAAAACTTACTGTATTTAGAAAATTTCTTAAATCTCTTTATATTCGAAAAAAATCTCAAAGCAACATACAAAAAAGAAACAAAATATATTAATAACCAGTGGCCCCAGGTCACCTCGGGGTCATGTGGCCCTGTAAGAAGCACCTTCTCTGATGACTGAGGTGGCCACTATTATATAGGAGATAAGGCACTCTCGTTCTCAGGTTTCCTAAGACGTTAAGGCAGCCTTTCCCAACCTGGTGCTCTCCAGATGTTTAGGACTCCAACTCCCATCAGCCCAGACGGCATGATCAATGTTTAAGGATGAAGGGAGTTGTAGTCCAACACCATCTGGAGGGCCATAGGTTAGGGAAGGCAGTGTTAAGGGCTCTGTACACTAATACTAAACCTTAAGCCTTGTCTTGCGGCATATTGAAATCAACTTTGTAAATACAGAAGTGTCACAAATATTAAATGAACCAAAATGACACAAACACTGCAACACCCTGGAGCGGTTCACTTCTCTAGCGAGAACTTTACAAGGAAGAGGTTGCTACCAACCTTTTTGCTATCACCTCCAAGGGCTTGTTTGCATTTTCATCGCTATTAGCAGCATGTAACAGGTAATTCAGATCACTTCTCTTGGAACTTGGAATCCAAACAAGCGCTCCTATTTGATTCCCATTGGGAACAGTCCATACCGAGGGCTTTGTGCTCCGAGTAACAAACAAATGTAAGGAGCAATTACTACTACTCAAGGCTATGTGATGAACTGTATATAGTCAAAAAGATATCTGAACCCTGATATATGCCCACAGACAATTTTGTATCACATAGGCTTCCCGCTGTTTCTAAAAAACATTTCATAAACACTTGTGATAAAGTTCTCCATTTTCATCTCTAAACAATTTTACATGCATACAACATTTTATTCAGATGCCGGCTTTCCATAGTTAAAACCATGCTCAAGGTGGCTTGCTACATGAAAAAATGTACGCAATTTTGTTTTTTGTTTAGAAGGCATTGCTCTTCTACAGATGGCGCTGGCAGTCACATGACTTACCAACCAAGCTCCCACAAACCACTGGTGAATTTTGGCATACCATTTTTGTTTCACTTCTGCCTAACAGACCCTTACATTCTTCAGGAACTCCTCTGCCACAATGCGAGCTCTGGCATTGACGGACAGCTTCATCTCGCTGATTTCCTTGTCAATTTCCTCCATGAAATGAATGACAAAGTCCACCAGCTTGTGCTTGTACATCTGCTCCGTATGGAAGTTTGTAATCAGGAAGCTAATGTCATAGCCCTGGGATAAAAAGAAAGCAGCATGTAATTAGCATCTATTAAGCAAAGACTCAACAATCACACCTCCTACTCACTCTGACAACAACTCAGCATGGGGACAAAGGAATTATCCTGCTTTTTTCTCCCTTCCGTAAACAGTTTGCAGATATATGTAGTGGGCTTGGCTACATGTAACAGTGAGAACTAGCTATACTAACCACCCAGTCAATAAAGCCAAGCATTATGAGGAACAGTTGAAGGAGTTTCATATGTTTAGCATAAACAAGAGGAGACTGAGGGGAGATATGATAGCCATCTTCAAATATCTAAAGGGCTGTCCCCTGTGTTTTCTCCAGCTCTGGAGGGTAGGACTCAAACCAATGGATTCAAATTACAAGAAAGGAGAATCCAACTAAACATTAGGAAGAACTTTCTGAAGTTAAGAGCTATTCAGGAGTGGAATGGACACTCTTGGAAGGTGGTGGACTCTCCTTCATTAGATGGTTTTAAGCCGAAGTTGGATGGTCATCTGTCATGGATGTTTTAGTTGAGATTCTTGCATTGCAGAAGGTTGGACTGGATGGCCCTCGGGGTCCCTTCCTACTCTACAATTCTGAGATTCTATGATAATAAATCCAACAGCTGAGAAGAATCAGGAGAACACACAGACCACACTGGAGTAATGGCCCTAACCCCTGTTGTCTGCCGATACTGCAACACCAGTTATGGAGGCAGCCATTTTAACATCCCTCAGTGTATAGCAGCACACACATGCATATCTCCTGTAAGAAAATGCAGATCAAGGCTTTGGTATTCACATCAACTCAGTCATTTGGACTCTAGCGACCAAGCTCAACACAGGGCTGAAACCACACCCTTTTTTGAGTCATACCAATGCTGCAAGGGGCAAGCTCACTGTTAGCCATCGTCACTGCTAATACTACTGTGGAAGATGTTGGCAGTCAAGCAACATCTTGAAAATAAAAGCCACTCAGTCAGACATCTTATCTCCTGAGAGAGCTTCACATTACTGACAGCAGTGAGGTGTGGGATATGCTACAACAGCTGTCAAGGAAATGGTCTGTGTCACATGCTGTTGCTTTGGCTAAGAGACAACAGAAGAAGCCCTTTGTAGCATGCCACTGACCCTGGGTCAAGTCTCCTTACCTCAACTGGTTTCCGACGTAAAATGAAGAAGTTCTCCGCTCTCATCATCATGAAGCGCATAAATTTGTGACACAGGATCTTCTCAATCTCATCGGCCTGCGGAAGGGAAAAGGAACAGCCATTAGTGTTTTTCAGGTTGGGTTGCAATGACCACCCCACCCCTCATCTCCCATCCATGCTTGGCTTACCTGCTTCACTGCAATGCTGACTCGCACAGAGTTGATTGACCCTTCAATTAGGACCTTTTCTTTCTCATTCCTGCTGATGATCACTGGCTGCAGCAGTAACTCCTTGCTGCTTCTGCAAACCCACAGAGACAAATCTATGTCAGGGACCACGGAGAGGCACATGTTGTCTCTCCTTCGGAAGGATTCCAGCCATAGCGCAATCCAGTGTTCTCTCCTCTCCCCAACCATTGAACTTGTATTCCTAAATGCAAGCTCTGCAAGTTTTCACCACTTTTTAAAATTCAGGAGGCGGTGCCCAAAAGTTGTGGAATTCCTTCTCCACAGAGGTGCATCTGGCACCCTAATTGTACTGTTATCATCATATGCTGATGGCACACCTCTTTACCCTAAGCCATTTGACATCTGAGACACATTTTTTAGAGTCCACGCTACTGTAATGATTGTTAGTTGTTTTAAATATGTTTAACATTGTCTTTTTAATTTGGGACTTCATGGTGAGTAAGAAATCATATAAACAATTCTTCTTTGGACCAAGACATCAGTGTAAAGTTAGCTTCCAGCGCATATACCTTCGCCTGGCAGATGTAGATAATGTATGGCTTGCTGGCTGCAATCTGCCCTCTGATGCCTGTCCCACCAGCAGCTGATATGTAATAACTCAGCCATGGGATAGCTGTTCTGGGCAAGATACATCCCAGATACAGAGCAGGGGCTATACACTGACAATCACTGTCCTGAGGACCCTGTACAAGGGATTCATTCAACTACTTGACCAGAGGAATTGAGGTAGAACATGTAAATGAGCACAATCAGAGAGAGTTGCTAAGACTCTTTACACAAAACATCATTAGAAATGCCTCTCCAAGTTCCATCATATTCACTTTCCAACTTTTGGGGAGACTTTTGACCTAGTAAACCATCTTGTTCATTTTGTGAGCAATCCAATGTCTATGAGCCAGGCAGCTCTAGAATTTGCTCCTGCAGCTAGTCTGCCAGAAGACCGAAGAAGGTCCAAGTCTGGCAGTTGTGGGCAAATGCCTTTCTGGCATTAGTCAGACCACAAGCACTTCCTCTTGTGTAACTGCACTTTAGCTCACACAGAAGATATTGGATTCAGTAAGAAGCAGTGGGAGAGTAGAACCATGTACCTAAACTCAATTGCCATCCCAGTATTTCTAAAAGGGACGAGAAATCCATTAACTCAGAGTGCAAAAGGGCGGTCCAGCAGACCAGGAGCGTTGGGACAGGGGTCACTACATATCAAGCCTGTTTATGCAATATAGACTCACTGCCACAGCCCAACTTTTGAAATTTGGTATGTGGAGTGAAGTTTGTGATTCTAGTTAGAAAGTAGATCTTACTTGTTGCAATCCCACACATGCAAGAAGTATTTGTAAAGACAATAAAATCATTTATTACAGGAGTTACATAACTTAGAAAGATAAACTTTTTCTATCCAAGTTAAGTAATCATTCTAGAAAACACAAAGGCAGCCATGCTCACTCTTTTGTTCTCAAAGGATAGATCCAATATGACCTCTCATCTTGAATGAGTATGAGATAGAAGTTGAAGAGGATGAAGCCTAAGCAGTTTAGACTTCAAAGGATAGAGAGGTCAGCATAGAAGTCAAAGACATAGAGATAGTCTAGGAATGTGGCGGTTCCTTACTCTATCAAGTCCTTACTGTACCAAGTCCATGCAAACCCCTTTCTGCAAGGTGAGGTTCAGCCAGACGTCTAACACCACCGCAGTACCTTTCTGCAGAGTACTGATGTAAACTACATACAACACACAGAATACAATTGTTCTAAAGATAGTGACATAAGAATGAGGACCAGGAGCTTGCAAGACAGGCACAATAAAATGTATTGATTTTACACCTGTACATTTCAGGCCAACTAATGCACCCATATGAACCATGATGCATTAGTCATATTTGCCTTCTGAGCAAATGTAAGATTATCCATTTGTTTCACAGCTGAGACCTTGTTCAAATATTTCTCTAAACTGATTACTGTACTCACATAATTCAGTAACGTTTTGACTAGGGAAATATCTGCAGGGACTCTTAATGCTCAGAATAAGATGGCTCCCTTTACACACTTTCACATAGCTTTTATGGCAGTGGGGAGGGAATAAACAGCAGGAGGAGGCAAGCAGAGAGCAAGCATAGGCCTCACTCGTTGGTGGCCATGCCACCTCTTTCCCATACTTAATGCAAGTCAGTAGAGTCACATTTACTCCACTGATTTCTACCAGAATGATTCCTGGGCGAGGCCCCCTCTTAGCCAAGGAAAACCCTCAAGTGGGAGGGGCAGGAAGGACTGTCTGTTTACCATGAGTATCTAAGCAGCTGCAGTTTCCCCTCAGCTGCTAACCAGACTTTCCAGCTGAGGAACTACAGGGAGATAGCAAAATGTTCCTTTCCTTGCTACTGCTCTTCATACGGCCATCTTTCTTTTGCTCCCTGCCCAAGACAGTACAAAAAGGAAGTCAAGGCAAGCCTGTGGCTACTTATTTAGAAATGACCCAGGAGGTTAGGGAAGTCTTTGGTTAGAGCACCCAAGAGGATGCAGAAGGAATGGAGATATCTGAATGCTGCAGTACATGCATAGCTCTTTGAATGAAACCCTGTGCTGAAATTAGAGAACATTAAAAATGGGCCATCCACAATTTCAAAAAGTATGAGGATCAGTATATATGGAAGATTGAATTTATGTAACTGCAGTCACCATGGTCCACTTAAGGGATGAAGCAGAGGAATGGAATGAAGCAGTGGCATGACAGCTGACATGCAGAATAGGAACAAGACAAAAATAAAACAAAAGATGTAATAATATCACCAACGGATCGACACTATCCATAGCAGGATGGTCAGATACTTGGGCCACGGAAATTAAGAAGAAGGTTATTGTAGTCACAAAAATATGATACGATGAAGGGGAATAATAAGCAGAAGTCAAGAAATGAGAAGGTAGAGGGCACTAGTGCCCTGACAGCGGGGAGAAAATACAAACAGCAAAAAAATTAATCTAAAATTGCAAGCCCCTGGAAAACCAAGAAGAGCTTTTGTGCTGACCAATTAGCAGGCACACGAGGACTACTCATAAATATGTTCTACTTAATTCAGTAATGCTTACTCCCTAGTAAATGAGGTTAGGACTGCAGCCTCAAATGTTCCACAAAATAAAAGTTATTTTTTAAAAATGGGATTGCAGCCTTTTTAATTTATTTGATTTCCCGCCCTATCTTTTAGGGTCTGTACCCTTCAAAGGTGGCTTACAAGTCAGCAAAACACATTGAAACTCTAAGATTTCAAAGAACAACAGATAAAACAGATTACCACAGTGTAGAACTCTTTTTTAAAAAAAGTATTTAGGGTATGGGAAACCTTGAACAATGGGTGGTGAGAGAAAGGTAGCAGAATTAAGATGCACACCATCTCTCCACCAGCAATCTATCCTGACAGCTATCATTTCACTTTGGAGCGCATTGCAATGTGGAAACTTTTCAGTCCCCATGGCAACCTTCAGGCCCATCCATTCATTCTCCCACGACTCCACCTCCTCGGTTTCCGCACTTCCGTATGCGGCTTTTATCCCCCAGCCTTTTGCCTGCATCTGCTGCCTCTGCTTCCCGCAATAAGCCCTTGAAGGACCGTTTCCATCAGCCGCCCTTTCGCTTCGCGCACATTGCTTTAATCCCCGGTATTTATAGGTTTAAAAAAACAACAACACCCATTCATCAATCGACACCAATTCATAGCCATCGGAAAAGAAAAAGGAGGGAGTGCCAACAAGGCCGAAGGAGACCATTCCCCCTCCCTTCAAAAAAAGCACATTATTATTATTATGAGCAATATTTATTATGCTGCCCCATCCCCGCCCCCAATACCCACCACCACCGACACCCACCTGACTTCCACCTCCGGCTTGTTGTGCCGCTCCACCACCTGGGACGAGAAGTTCTCCAGGCACAGGGCGGCCTGCAGGGTAGCGCGCACAGCATTGAGATAAGGGCGAAGGGTGGCAGTCTGCAAGGAAGGAGATTCGACAGGTTCCCCCCCGTCAAAATAAACGTCGCACCTTTAAAACCCGTGACGTCACCGCGCACCCTCCTCCTCCTCTGGGCAGCAAGAGGCCTGTCAGCCGGGCCTGGGCGAGGCGTCTCCCCTCAGCGCCAAGCTTCCCTTCGGAGCCCCCTCAACTCCCTCCACGGCCTCGGCAGCGCCTCCCCTCCTGCCCTGACCGGTTACCGCCAACGGACAGCCCTCCTCCCCTTCCCCTTTCGGCGGGCCTCGCGCTGCCCCAGCCAGGCCCTGTCAGCCAGACCCACCGTCTCACCCCCTCGCCCGCCCACCCAACTCCCTCACCATGGCAGCAAAGGCGGCAGCGGCGGCAACAGCCGAGGGTCTTGGTCCCAGGAACGGAAGCGGAAGTGGCCCCCGCCAAGACGCGGAGGCGGCGCGCGCGGTGGGGTGGGGAGAGAGAGAGAGAGATCCTTGTTTCTGGAACGCTCCAAAATGTTTCGCGGAGGGGGGTGGATAGGTGGATGCGCGCTCTCAATACCGGCTCCTCTCGCCCCCGCCCGGTTTCTGGAATTAGGTGAGGTCGGTGTTTTTTAATACAGTGTCGGAAAAGAACGCAACCAGCCCTTTTTGTCTTTTGTCGTTTGGTTTCCTCGCTCTGTCCCTCCTGACCCGCCCCTGTTCCTCAGTTGGTACGACCGAAGCCTCCCCGTCTCCATATTTGGGAACGAGAGAGGTGTGGGCGTGGTCGGGGGGACACGGGCCAATAGCAGGAGGCTGAGGGGAAGGAAGAAAAAAAAAAAAGCTCCGTAGAACTTGACTCTCGGCCAATAGGGGCGGGGCGGCCGAGGGAGCGTCCAGCCAACGGGGAGGCGCCGCAGGAGGGGCCAGGAAGGAAGTGAGCGGAGCTGAGGAGGAGGAAGCAGTCCGGCGGGGTAGAGCTCGGTCTCTATCTATACAGTATAGCCTTCGCCTTCCCCCGCCTTGCCGTCGCGAAGGCGCCCCGCCCGCGGCGCTGCTTGTCCCCTCTCCTGTGCGCATGCGCGGGCCTTGGGTGAGTGTAACCCGGAAGGAGCCCCTGAAACCGGAAGCTACCCCAGCAATCTCCCCCCTCCTTCCTCCAGCGCCCCCTCCTGGCCTCTCCCCCCCCCCCGCTCATTCATCACCTGTTTCTTCATCCTGCACATTGGGTCCGTTTTTCCAGTGCTGCTTATCCCACCTTCCAAACCCTCATTGCTTTGTTCTTTTCTTCCCTTGCACGTTTGTGCCTTAACCCTGCAGAGGGTCTCCCCTCCCACTGCCCATTCTGCGGTCCCTTTCCCACCTGCTGATGTTCTGTAGACTAGCCTTGCCTTCTCGTTCTTTTTTCCTCCTCCTCTTTTTCCTCCACCTGCAATCTGCTTGCTCCCATCCCTTCAACACTTGCCCCTCACTGTGGCTCCTTGCCCGCCCAGCTGATGATACCTGTCACCATGTCTCCATCGATGCAGGTTTCCTGGTTGTGAGCCGCCTCCCTGTCTCCTGTTATCCGTAGGGTAAGAGTTCTCTGTGCTAACCTGTGTCACTTGGCCAGTTAACCGTTATCGTTTTTTCTACAGTGGTACCTCGGGTTACATACACTTCAGGTTACATACGCTTCAGGTTACAGACTCCGCTAACCCAGAAATAGTACCGCGGGTTAAGAACTTTGCTTCAGGATGAGAACAGAAATCGTGCTCAGGCGGCACTGTGGCAGCAGGAGGCCCCATTAGCTAAAGTGGTGCTTCAGGTTAAGAACAGTTTCAGGTTAAGAACGGACCTCCGGAGCGAATTAAGTACTTAACCCGAGGTACCACTGTATTTTGTTTTGCTTTTACTCCCTGCTTGTTTTGATCCTCCCTCTTGGCACCTGCGTTTGTTGCTGTTCCGTTCCTTCATGTCACTTTCTCTTCTCGCAGACCCAGCTGGCCGCACCATGTCTGAGCTAAAGGACTGTCCTCTTCAGTTCCACGATTTCAAGTCTGTGGACCACCTGAAGGTGTGCCCTCGCTACACAGCTGTGCTGGCCCGTTCGGAAGATGATGGCATCGGCATTGAAGAACTCGACACCCTGCAGCTGGAGCTCGAAACGCTGCTGTCTTCTGCCAGCCGCCGGCTTCGGGTGCTGGAGACTGAGACCCAGGTCAGATGGAAATCAAGCTGCTCCATAGAAAGGAGATGCTTTATTTCAGTGGTTCCCAAACTTTTCCCCCTCGTGGATCATTTGAAAATTGCTTAGGGGCTTCCTGCTGTAGCAATTCTAATGTGCTGAATGGTTTTTAATTGGATTTAATTGCATCTTTTAATTGCATCATTTTATTCATCTAGAATGCAGTTTTTTATAGAATGAAAATCATAAAACAGTATAAGCAGTTAAAATAGAATTAAAAATTGATACGAATATTTAACACAGCGGTTGTGGCATCTCCTGTTTTCAGCCACAAATCCACATATATGTTGCAGACCACCTGAATGATGATTGCGGTCCAGTGGTGGTCTGTGGACCACAGGTTGGGAACCCCTCCTTTATCACATTCAGAAAAGGGCAACCTGATTTATCAAGGGGTGTTGGAGCAACTCCACTATGAAGAAAGGTGGCAATGTTTGGGTATTTTGTTTTGAGAGCCAGTGTGGTGCAGTGGTTAAGAGCGGTAGACTCGTAATCTGGTGAACCGGGTTCGCTTCCCCGCTCCTCCACATGCAGCTGCTGGGTGACCTTGGGCCAGTCACACTTCTCTGAAGTCTCTCAGCCCCACTCACCTCACAGAGTGTTTGTTGTGGGGGAGGAAGGGAAAGGAGAATGTTAGCCGCTTTGAGACTCCTTAAAGGGAGTGAAAGGCGGGATATCAAATCCAAACTTTTCTTCTTCTTCTTCTTTGTTTTGTTAAGAGGGACATGAGAGAGGTATAGAAAATTATACATGGTGTGGAGAAAGCAAATAGAGAAATTTCTCTCTCTCTTCTGATACTAAAAGTCTGAGACATCCAATGAAGCTGAATGTTTCAGGAGAGACAAAAGGAAGTGGTTCTTCACATAGCACATAGTTAAGCTATAGAATTTGCTCCCACAAGATGTAATGACAGCTACTGACTTAGATGATTTCAAAGGGGGATTAAGCAAATGTTCTCCCTCTTCCGTCAGAGGCTGTATGCTTCTGAATAACACTTGCTGCGAATCACAAGTGTCTGTTAGAATTCCTGCTCCATGATTGCAGTCATGGGATTGTTGTCTATCACATGACGTTATATGTTTTGACTCCACAGACTGAGATGTGACAGAGACAGGATGTTTGTGTTACTGTGTTCCGTGAAGTGGGACTATTGTCCTTTTTTTCTCTCTCTTTGCTGTCTGATGCTAGAGAGAGAGGGAGCCATGTTGCAGTGTTCCGTGTGTGTTTATATGTAAATAAAGTAGATTAGCCAAAATGCTGAGTTGCTGAGGTCTGTTACACAGCTGCGCAAACTCTGCGGATCCCTAAGTGTGCCGGTGTCGGTTGGCATCGGTTGCTATGATGTTCGGGCAGAAGAAAGCTTTTGAAGCTCCCGAACGATCGACCAGGAGGGAGAGAACATGCCAGTTGGGCATGTGTCTCTGCCAGGGTCCTACTCGAGTGTAGGCCGAGCCCCTGACAGCGTCGATGACATTTTGTACTCGGATTCTGTTTGTGGGGTCTTCCACCCTTTCCACCAGTTGCAATGTAGCAATTGATGGAGCTAAATTGGGAAGGCCTTGCAAGAGTCCTAGGGCTGTATCCAAGAAAGTGGAATGACTTCTGCTCCTGCAATAGAATTCGCCCCATACATTATCCCCAGATGTACATTGCAACCCCGCAAAATCTGCCCAGGAAAGCCTGCAGAGGGAGGGCAAGTTCTGTTCTGCAGCCAGAAGTTCTTCCACTTGCACAGTTAGTTTGCTCAATTCAACTCCTAGATGTGCAGAAGTGGGAGGTGGGTGCAAAGAACCTGGACAGCATCTAGAAGGCCTTTTTCACATGCCTGCTACACTCCCTGATTCTAAAAATGTGGATTTATATATATTTATATCTTGCTCTAGCACAGTGCATTTCAAGAAGAAAGTGCTTGTTACCCTCTAAATGTTGTCTTAGCATGTGGCATTGCCAGTGATGGAGCCACCTTTTTCTGTCGAAACCTCTTCCAACACCTGAATTCCCCCCTCCCCAGCTCAGGTGTGCTATGAAAAGAAGAATGCAGTGCAGGAGTCACTGGGACCGAGGAGATGGGAGCAGTTTTGGGGCAGTGACTTAGCAGCCTATGAATGAATGAATGAATGAATGAATGACTGTATCACCTTTTTCTCTAACAGGGACTAACAAAGCAGCTGTTTTGGTTTTTTTCAGATCCTGACAGATTGGCAAGACAAGAAAGGAGACAGGAGGTTTCTGAAGCTGGAAAAAAAAGAGCATGAGTTGGGCACTCCTGTCAAACATGGCAAACCCAAGAAACAGAAGCTGGAAGGGAAAGGAGGTCACAGCACAGGGCAGGGTCCTGGTCGGCCCAAATCCAAGAACTTGCAGCCCAAAATCCAGGAGTACGAATTCCCAGATGACCCAATTGATGTGCCCCGTATCCCCAAAAATGATGCACCTAATAGGTATGTGGGAGAGGGATTTCCACTGCAGCAGTAATAATGAAAAATACTTTGTTACATATAATCTGCATATCTTGAAGGGAGAATCTATCTACCTACCTATCTATCTATCTATCTTTGCTGGACTGCAAAGAAACCCAAAACACTCAAAGCGGTTTACAAAAAGGAAACAAGAAAATCAAGAAAAGTTTACAACAATACTTTAAAACGTACAAAAAGATACTGCAACCAATTAAAATTTGTATGAGCTTTATAAGCATCTGAGTAGGCTTGTTTAAACAAGACTGTTTTTGGCCCAAAAGAATACAGCGAAGGCACCTCCTTGAAACAGATACACCTCTGCAGCAATGAAAATGTATTTTTGAAAGCGGTCGATTTGAAGATGTAACCCATTGTTTCGCCCGCTGTATGCAGATCAAAGGAAATGAGTTGCATTACTTATCTCCGTACAAAACCCCACAAGATATGGTTGGAATTTTGCTGGATAATCAGTTTTATATTACAGTGGTACCTTGTTTTACAACAATAATCCGTTCCGGAGGTCCGGTTGTAAACCAAAACTGGTTGTAACCCAAGGCGCACTTTCGCCAATGGGGCCTCCCAAAAAAAAGGGGGGGGTTAAAAAAAATGGGTTGTAATCCCAAAAAAGGGACACACACTTCCGAATTTGACGTGGCTGTAATCCAAAACAGTTGCAAACCAAGGTACTACTGTACTTTTTGTTGTTGTTGTTGTTTAGTCGTTTAGTCGTGTCCGACTCTTCGTGACCCCCTGGACCAGAGCACGCCAGGCACCTCTGTCCTCCACTACCTCTCGCAGTTTGGTCAAACTCATGCTGGTAACCTCG